TACAACTCGCGGGCAGCCTGGTCGATGACTCTTTCTCCTTACACAGCTTGGGAACCGTCCGCAGCGGACCGGGTGCTTCGTCTGAGGTGCCGATCATGCCCACGCATGACGACGACCATCTGAGCCCCCGTGGCCCCACCTCCACAACGTCGATGCAACAACCCCCAATCATGCCTACCGCTGCCTCGCCCGACACCACCGCCAGTGCTCCCCCCGCCTTGGGTAAGCCATCTTCCCGCTCGCACCTCGTCCTCTTCGACTCTGCCGTTGATCGGCTTGGTCCAGATCACAATTATACCCACCGCCACTCGCTGAACAACATTTTCTCGTGCCTGCAGCGACTGCACCAAAGGACATGCCTGCACCGGCTGCCAGCAAGGCGCCAGGTGCCTCAGCTGACGAGGAGAAGCGTCAGCGAGAGTTGCTGGAACAGCGCGAGCGGGAGATGCTGGAGCAGGCTCGCCAAGAGAAGGAAGCACGTGAAGCCGAAGAGAAGCGCCAACAGGAGAGCCAAGCCAAAAAGGACGAACTGACGGTGCGGATTTTTACACCAGCAATCGCCATGTCCCTGGATCATTCTATTTGCGTCTCGCAAACCACCTTTGCTATCTCACATCGGGATGTGGATGTCTTTGCCCGCTGATGTCGTAGAACAACCTGGAGACGCTTCGCAAAGAGGCGGCCGGGATCGAGTCCCAAATTGCCTCGGCACCAAACCCCATTCTCAAAAAACGTTTTCAAGCCTCGCTTACCAAAAAGCAGGATGAGATTGTTGCTGCCCAGGCCAAGCTCGATGCGCTGTCCTCGTAAACGTGGATGCTTGTGGCAAAGGTCTTTATGCGAGCAAGCGTTGAAACGGAGCAATCTTACCCTAAACAAGCACATTTGGATACAGATAGATAGAGAGCGCTACCCATGCCTGTGATGGGTAATTTGAGACTGGGGCGATCCATGGCATTGGTCGCAGGAAAAAAAAATCGAGTAGACCAGTTTGATGAATTTTCAAGAAGAGCTAGATACCGCACCAACACGAGAAAGGACTAGCCAATACCATTCTGAAAAGGCAAGGCAGAGGCGCCTACTCATCCATGCTGTCAAGTTGGAATCCCGACTCAGGTACCCGTTGCTGCGATGCAGATTCAAAAGTGAGTTGTTGCTTTTCCAACGGAGACATGTAATAACACTCCGTGCACTCCGTACCTGCTGCTTCATGCACGCTTGCAACCATGCCGGAGTGACAAAGACCAAGTTTGCGTTGTCTTGCCGTGCCGCGTCAAAATCGGCATTCCTATCATGGCCGAGCCAGGTGTTGACGTCAATGGGCCGGTCGGCTACCACCTCCCCCCTCCACCCAACAGAACAAACACCCAAGCCGTGCCTTACCAGCTCTGCGGCGATACCACGTGCGTGACGTTGTCAGACATGTAATCTTCCACAGTGGCGTTGAGGGCGTACACCAGGCGCTTTGCTGCGCGAAAGGATTGGTTATCGTCAAACCCATAGAGCAAGATGCGCAGTCCCGTCAAGGCATCCGGCAGAGTCTCCATGACTGATTTAGAGACGGAAGTTGTCGTAGCTGATCGCGGTAAGCTTGGAGCCGGCGCTGCAGCCGCCGTGTTCGCACGCGCAGGCGGGGCAGCTGTGGCGGAGGCACTCGTGCTTGCTTCGGGCTCGGACTCTGGCTCCGTGTCCGCCTCAAAAGCATCCACTTGAGCCGTGACATCCATCGCGCCTTTGGGGGCTTTGCTTTGAGGAGGCGCCACCGATGCCCCGGCTTGACCGGGAGGTTGTGCTACGGCCGACGCACCACTGATCCCTGCACCAGGATCAAAATCTACAACAATTGCAATCATTTGCTTGAGGGAGCGCGCAATCTAAAACAAACCCTTGGCATTCTAGGCTTGGGAGTCTTCTTCAAGTCCTGTGATTTACCGTCATCTGAAGCGTCATCATCGCCATGAACCGCGTCTTCTTCTTCTTCGGCAGAGTCATCGGGGTCCCCACCCTGAAGGGCTTGATCAGAGGGATACATAAAACTACAGGGAGCCAGGCAGCACATGCCTGTCAGCCATGGAAGACCAGAACAGGAGCTTCCGTCGATGCCTTAAGCAACGCACCGATACTCTTGAACGCGTCGCTTGGCTCGATCACAACTTTCAAGCCAATCTTTGGACACGATAATACCACCATCACCTAAACAGGTAGATCACCATAATTGCCAAAAGCGACCCATACAACACCATCACGCAACAATCAAAAGCGCGTGAGACCGCGCACGTTGGAATATAAACACTAACATGGATTAAAAACACCAAAAAAAAATAAAAAATAAAAAAATCAGGAACATACGACGGGCTTGTGTGTTTTTGGGGGTCTGCTCAAAAGCCGATATGGAATGGGTGCAGCGTGAATCCCACTGCGCGGCATACTGTGCACCCATCCCCAGGGCCAAGTCTCGTAATTGGCCACGCCGTGGGTTTTGGTAGCCGCTCAGCGTGAAGCGCACACCCTTGAGAATGTCGCGGTATGGGGGTGGCGCAGTAGGAGCCGGCTTGCTTCGCTTGGGTGGTGGTGCGGCCGCTGAAGGCTTGGGCGCAGTACGTTGCGGTGTGGAGGCAGCAGGGGGTGTCCTTGAGACAGCCGTGGAGACCTGTGGCGCAGAGCGTGCGCCAGGTGATGACGAGGTGCTGGCAGGCGGAGCAGCTGCGGGCCGATTTCTAGATGCATTGGACGTGGATGCGGTTGGCGTGCTTGCGCCAGTACCGGTTACTGGCAGTGAAGCGCGCGAAGGTGCGGTCGAGGTGGTCACCCAACTGCTGGTTGTTGGTTGCTGAGGGATGGTTGTCGGCAGGCTGTGAGCTGCATGTTCAGCAGCCTCGCGCACTCGACGTTCCTCAGCCGCCTGTTGCCGCGCCTCCGCGGCCAAGCGGGCATTCTCCGCCGCCTCACTCAGTGCACGGTCCGCCCTGGTGCACACAAAGACACACCATGAGATTATGATGATGATGATGAGCCAAAAATAAAAAAGAAGGACAGGCATCTGAATGGTCAACATCTGCGATGGATGAATATTCTTTCTTACTTGCTTGAGGAAGCAGTCAAGCTGCGCATGCGCTGAACAAAGGCAAGACATGGGGTGTGCAATGCAAAAGCCAGTGAAGCGATGCCGGCTCATTTGTTTTAACGAAACGAGAAGTGCCAAGGAATGAGATGAATGCAAAAGCGCTCAAAGGTACCTCAATCGAGTTGGGAGGTGAAGTGGTGGATGGCTGGGACTTGAGCTTGAACATGCCAAAGGTGCCCTCACGCTTCAGGGTTGGTTTGGTGGGGGTGGTTGTGGCAGAGGCGGGCTTGCTGGGTGCCTTGGGCGAAGCGCTTGCGGCAGGAGAAGCGGCCGTGGCGGCAGAGGCACCAGCCTCATGTACCCGCACAAAAGTCAGACCAAAAGGTTCTGTCTGTGTCACAAGGCAAGGACATGGCAAGGGGCGGGATCAGACCGGTAACAGTTGCGAGGAGCAAGAGACGCGGGCGCGGGGGAGGGTGAGGGGAACGGGCAGAGCAAACCCAGGGGCAATGCGTCCAACCAACCTTGTTGTAAGGTTGCTTGCAGACCAGGCGTAGCTGGTCCCAGCGCTGCTGGCGCGCCTGCTGGTTGATTTTAGATTGACCTGTCCAAAGGGGGTAATTGGGAAACAAGTGCAATCACAATCATCGGCAGGTTTTCAAAGCGAGGAGGAACAAGCAAGGTCAAGGGATCGCACCAAAAAAGAGAACATTTTGTAATTGGGATGCATCCCAGCTTTTAGAAGCACTGGGTGGCAACACGAGTTCTACGGGACACAAATTCTATCCAAAAGGCACGACAACGGTTTGGATGACGTGCCAAAGGGTCAGACAAGAGGCGAGGCTTTGAGGAAGCGAGGGGTTTCAAGAAAAGAGGTTTCAAGAGGAGGGGTTTCAACAGGCGGCGGCTCACCGCCCACGTCGAGTCGGAGGCTCCAGAGTTGCGCACTTTGACCTCCAACATGGCTAGCCACACAGACACGATGCCACATGCTGGGTTGAGCAGAGACCATCACGCAGAACCTCTGACACAAGCAGCGGCCGTGAAGTCTTCGAGTACCGACCAGAGCCATAGTTGCCCACGTCCAAGGTTTCGATAACAACAGCTCGGTCCAATTGAAGCTCAACCCAATTGGTGACCCCAGCCAACCCCTTCCATACCCGACCGGGATCGCTATCCAGGACATGTTCGGGCGGGAATCCCTACATGTGCACACATCGTCAGCTGACTCGTCCCTCCACACTGTGAACAACAGGTCACCGCCGCTTTGCACACACGCACACACACGCACACACACGCACACACCTGTGCCGAGGGACTGGCGTTGATGACATGCTGCACCTTGACGCCCCCTGCCATGCCAACGATCACGCGTAGCACAGATCACGACGTCGCAATCTCCAGTGTGTGGCACAGTCTCCAGCAGCTGCATCAGCACACCAGCACAGCACAGGTATCCGCACAACTGGTTCTGTGACCGGCTGCAGTCGATCTCGCGACCCGACAGACGGCGCTCGGCTCGGGCTCGTGTGTGTGCTTGCGAGACACGCTCGCTGGAGCCTAATGTAGAAAACGAAGATAAGTCAGTAACGGTCTACACAGTCCATCTCTCATTTTACTAACAGTTCTTCAATAACTAGAATTTTGTCTGCAAAAGCTCATATTCATGTATCTTGTTCCAACACGTTCGAGTGCTTAAGTTGGACCCATAATGCTGACAATCATTCTCGTTTCGAACATATGTTGCATATTACTGTTCACCGACTTTGCTTGTATCCGGATGATGCAATTATGTCGTAATGGAGCTTGCCCCTTGTTGGTGCCGCACCGCGCGACGTTGAGGCGCCAGCAGTGGGTTGTCCTTCATAGAGGTCTTAAGCGTGCTTGAATGGGGTGGGACCTTTGGGTTTTTCGCATTCCTGTAGCAGCGTACATATGTCGCTCTGTGTTTGATCGTTGTGTCAAACGTCTCGCTCGATTAGATTCGCTTGACAAGCAGAGGCTAGATTTGCTTCCGCACCCGCCACGCGTCGCCCCTGTGCCACGTTACACCGTATTCGTCATACAAAGTATGGTAAATAGCCCAACTAAACAACGAAGAAACGTGTCCATCTCGTTCCGTTCAAGGTTCCGGTATTGACATCTGTACGCCAAAACCAGATGCAAACCCACCCCACTGCGACACTCAGCCCCACTGCAGTTGGTTTGCGGTCGTCGTCAACTTCAATAGAGCGAGACGGTTGGGATGGGTTTGCGTGTAGACGGCGTGTCTATCCATTGTCCTTAGATAACAGATGTGATTGCCTGCACCAACCCGACCCTGTGAAGAGACTCTCAATTTCGACATGAGCCGAAACTGGCGGATGCTGACTTTGCACTGGCAGCCGCATAACCTTGTGGAAGGGCCTCACGCCAGCAAGAACGGGTCTGATACCAACAAATGAAAGCAAGGGCGTTCCTTCTCGCGAAGTAGCTTACTCGAGCCGCCCACTTGGTCGCAGAATGCAAGCAAAAGTCTTCCAACCCCGATACTTACCTACTTTGCTTTGCACAATGACTCATTTGGACAAATCCATCGCAACTGTCCCCGGCTGTCTCAGCCCCTTCCATTCACTTGCCTCGAGCCATGCGTGGTTCAAGAGTCATACGGATAAGAGGACACAACACTTGTAACCTTCCACCCAAAATCTGCAATGAATAGGCACATGCAACATGGGGCCTGTGGGTCTTGCCCTGACCACCCTCACCACCCGAAATATCTTTTATTCACCCTGCAGCCGACGCCGCGGACAGACATTTTCTTTTATTCACCGTGAACACAACTTACTTGCGTTCTCCCTCGCAGCTCAAGTCTAGCCATCACTGCCTTCATACATCTTGACACAAGCCTCCGACCGTCTACCATCACACGCCAGTATGTGGCCGCAACCCGGCAACCCTCTAGTACGAGGCATGTCAGCATCCCACAAAACCTCTTCCCCAAAGTCATGGAGCATTCGAATCAAGCAGCCGCGGCGCGCATCCTCCATGCTGGCGCGTGGAATAGAGCGTCGTCTCTTGAACCTCGACCCAAACAGCCCCTCGGGGGGTCAACAGCACCAAGCAACAGCTTTTGATCTGTTTGTTGAACTCAAGTACAATGCTGATGCTCGCAAGGTTTGTACCGCCACTTCCAATAATCACTCCTCGCCGACCTCTGCAGACAAATTGCACACGTGCTCATATCAAAATTGTATACGCTAATTGCTACGCATGCAGCACCCGGGCATTGAGCCACCTTACCTGCGCTGGCAGCAGATGCTCAAGGCAGAACGCCGACCTTATGAACACTTAGCCGAACAGCTTGCACATGGCCACAGCGTTTTGCGTCCCTCGACAACACGCAGCTCCATCGGCGGCTCGTCCTACGACTTGGTCAAACACTTGCTGCCAAGCCCAGCCTGCTCACATCCAAGCAATATGATGCAAATGTCGCTTGCAGTCCCGGTCACCCCATCATGTGGGCCCGATGCTGGTCAATTGTCCCCAAACCACACAGCATCAGAAGCACCTTGTCTCAACAATGATGGACTTACAACTCAGAGCCTGGCCAATTCCAACCTCAATGATGCCATGAAATGGTGCCCACCCGCAAAACTTGCCGGGCCAGATATCGAATCCTCTTCCAGCATTGGCTCGCCTGAATTGGACATGGAGCCATTTTGGTTAACACCGCTATGCGAGGAATCAATTGACCTCTTCTGGTCGGAGCGATGCTCAACCCCATCTTCACCGACTTCATCTGAGATGCTTTCCCTGTCAGCCACCATCGCCACACAGCCAGCCACATGTCAGGAGGTTCCAGCGCCATGGTCAGGATTCGCCCGACGAGTTCAGGCTGCTGCATCACCGCGTCCTGCCATTACTTGCCTGCCCCACTTGACTGCCACTGAGGTTCAACGCTGCCTCTTACATCTTTATTAATTTACAACCTACTGCAGCAATGAGCACATTGCGCCCCTTTGCCCATAGTCTCAGTACCCCTGCTGGCTGCGCCAAGCATTGTTGTGTGTATGTTTATTGCCATTTTTTTTTTTTTTTTTGGTGTGTGTGTGTGTGTGTTTCTCGCGTGTGACTCTGGGTTGCCCATTTTATGCCGATTCCCACGGGAAGAATCGAATCGCCGTCAACGATTCAAAGCCTAATCCTACAAATTTGATTGTGGGGACAAGCAGTAAGAAGAGAGCTTGGGTTGAGACCGCAAATATCAATTTGAATGTGTTGAATTCGGCATTGGGCCGTCAGGTCCGTTAGGCAGCCACGTAACCAATAACCGCAATGGTGATGTAGTGAGCGGTACCGGGGGTAGATTCGCTGTCACAAAATACGGCATCAAACGTGCCGTCGTCCTTGAGCGGGATAATCTGCGTGCCGTGCCAATGGCCATAATACCACCGAGAGCCGGCAGTACCACCCTAAAACGGAACAAACAAATGGTAAGAATGGTGAGCCAACTCATAGAAGAGCCGTGCGTGGCGGCGCCATTGCACGCCACAACTGACATCGTGAGAGATTTGCACGTCATTAAAATACACGTTGGAGTCGTGAATGCCATTTCGAATGATGGAGGCGGTGTGCGTAGCCTACGCAAGGCATGAACGAAGCCCAAAGGTCAGGAGTAACCAAGCGTTTTCCAGCCACAATTTGATCTTCAGGCAAACATGTATTCTTCTTAGTTCTGGCTGCAAAGCAGTACGCACGTCACGTCCAAATGTGTGGACAACATGATCTGAGCTACTCGTATGCTCATGCGTGTAAATGGTTGTGATCAAGGCCTTGGCATTTGTAGGCACGCCTGCATGCCATACCCAAAAAAGGCAGCATCCGAGGGATGAACAGTGAGAAGCGAGCGAGTAACGAAAGAATTTCGGCCAGCTTGAAGGAGATGGAACGCACCAGAGCCAGCCGGTGGCGAAATGCCGGTCGTGACCGTGCGGGCTGTGGGGGCAAACTTCATGGTGCGTGCCGCAGAGGTAGGAAGATAAATGATGTTGGTAAACGGGGCAGAGGGGATGTAGCCAAACACCTGGAGTGTCAAATACACGGTCGGATTGTCACTGTTGGCGCCCATACCAGCATCCACCTTGATAGTACCATCTCCCAGTGAGCCCGTCATCTACAGCGTTTTTGTGGCCAAATGTCCGCAATAAGCCGACTTGTCAGACTCTGATGACAGGAGAAACAGATGCAAGGTTCAAGCACGCACCAAAAATGTACTCCAGCCGTAGTGGGCGCTGGCGACAGATGAATCACCTTCGTTGGTGGTGACAGCGTCGCCCCAATACTGCAAGGCACTCGTGTAAGGGGCATTATCCCAGTTGTTGGGCATATTGCTCGTGTCACGGCCAAATGCCATATTAAAGTGATCATCGCGATTTGAAACAAACATGGAGGAGGCAGTCAAGACGCCGGCGACGCCGGTGGCTGGGATGTGACTAGGCTTGAGGTCATACTTCGAAAAGCCGCGATTGGACGTCTGCCGCAGATTGTGCACTTGATTGACGCTTAGCAGCGTAGACTCGCCGGCGCCCGTCAAATAGCCGTAGATGTACACTGTGAGAGAATTCACGCCTCGCGTCAACCCACTCACGCCACCCTTGATGGTGCGTCCGGCGAGTGGGATGATTGTGGTTCCCACAGCCATGCCATCGCCCTGGGCACCTAAAAGCATCGAAAATCGGCAACCCATCAGCGCCATCCCGCCCAACTCGCAAAAACTTAGAGACGGTCAAATAAAAGCAAAGAACCGGCGCCGAGCACTGCATTTCCCAAAGAGCAAGCCTGAACAGGGCACAAGTATCTACAAAAACTTCACATGGTGTGACTCACCTCCATTATCGCCGTTCTGTGTTTGCAAAATGTCGTTGAGATAAGTGTTGGCGTTGTACACGTCGTTGTCATAGTTGGAACAAGGAACGTCGTTGTCACGACCCAGGGAATAGACACAATGATCATTGCCCAAGGAATTGTACATGGAGAGCGAGGCCAAAACGGCCACGGCATCGGTCGGAATGACCGTCGGTACATCCTGCTCGAGCTTCTCGCAGTTGGACTCAAAGTCAAACAGCATCCGCTCAGGACGATCCAAAAAGCGCACAAAGAGGCCGTAGCAGGAGTCGGCGTTGGGATCGATCGTAAAATTACCCGAGGGGCAACGACATTCATAAGAGCCTTCCAAGTTAACGCATGTGGCCATGTCTGGACAGGGGGCACCGGCAGCACATTCATCCGAGTCTGCGCAAACCAGGGCATCACCGCTCACTGGCACCCATTCTGCAAACTCGTTGCAAACATAAGTGGCGGAACGCTCTGGCGAGTAGTTCTCTGCGCATGTCACCTATGGGCAAGCACCAATGAAATGTTCATCCGCTCATGTGTAGTGCGAGTGTGAAGCAAGGGCATCGCCCTGATGGCCGCATGATGGCAGGACAGAGGATGGCCAGGACGAACCAGACAAGTCCCGTCAAAGCTCCTGTTGGTACAGGTGCTCGCTGCAAGGTGTGCGATGACAGGGCCACTAGCCGAGCACCCGCCGTGAACGAAAGTGGGCACGCAACGGTTCAAGTCGGCATCAAAGACGAGTCCTTGCGAAAAACAGCTAGAACGGGGAGGCAGTTGGTAAGTATGAGTGAATGAGAAGCATGTCAAACCTGACTTGCGCTTCGTACTTCCAGCTATCAGCAGACATCCTTACTTGAGAATACTGTCAGCGTTGGCATTGAAGGTGGCGCTGGAAATTGTGCCGTTGAGAAGAGACATGTTGCCATAAACGTATGTGAGCTCGTGGTCAAGAAGCAGGGCCATTTCCTCGAGAATATCATCCAAGTTGTCGGCCAGGGCAGCCTTGGTAACAAGCGTAGCAACTAGGTCAGCAATTTCGCTCCTGTAAGCGGCGAATGCCGTCGTGTTGACCAGGATCTGGCGTGCCTCGGCTGCGGCTTGTGCCGTGGCTGACCGCCCAGATTCATCGCGGCGAACGGTGGAAAAACGCAGGTGAAGTCGAGATTGAGCCGTGCTGCTCGAGGGAACGTAAATCAAGCGGCATCAATACTTGCAACGAGGCACCAATAATACCTGTGCCAACCTCGTTGGCGTAGTCGCGCATGGAATCCACGGCACTAGCCAGGGCCAGGCTGACCTCGTCCGCATCCGCCTATGGGCCGGCAGAGAATGACGATCAGACACGGACCAGGCATGGTTCATGCCAGCATCCAGGCAGCGAGGTGCCACGCGACCTCAAGTGGGCGCAGTGAAGAGTTGGGCATGTACCTTTTGATTGAGCTGCAGGTCTGTCGCGTTGGCGAGCTGGCTCACGTCTTGGGCCACGGCAGAAATGCTGGCGTTGAGTGTCGCACGCGTGGCACCAAGCTCCTATGTGAGACCAAAGGTCAGAGTTGGGTCATGAGAACCAAAGACAAAGCGGGATCGGCACCTTTGCAAAAGAATTGAACCTGTTGCAGATCTGCGCAGGTCTGGTTGAGAGCGGCGATGGTCGCATGGGCATCAGAGAGAGATGCTTGCATGCTGGCGATGACGGTCAGAAGATCCAGCGTGTTTGTGCCTTGTTCGATGAGAACGCTCTACGAGAGGACATGTTGATGCCAGGTTGCCAGGTAAAAACAAGCACAACGAGGGAATGAGAAAAGCGGCGAGACAGCCAAGGAAAGGTCCAGCACGACACGGGCGGGTTCGCCGGGCCACTAATAATGAACCTTGGAAGAATTAAGCACAAAGATGAGGTTGCCATTCTCAACTGTGACGGAAGGAGCTTCATCAGCTGCGGCAGCCAACGGCACCATGCCAACCCCTGAAAGCGCTAGAAGAAGCAAGCATGCTAGTCCAACGCCACGCCAACTCGTGACGCATCTCATCGCTGTTGTAGCACCGCTGCCGGCGGTGACGGCGCCAGCAGCGGTGGCCCTCGCGGCTCGCGACCTCATCACACAGGTGAAAATGGGAAAAACACGCAACCCCGACGAAACAACATAAACTGACGTTTATCTGCATTAACTATGCTATTGTATGTTAATGTATCTACATCTTCTCGACGTTCTAGTGCATCTTTCTTCTAGAGTGGTTTTCAAGGCTGAAGCAGGTCGCGTTTTTGTAGCACTTATACAGGCTTTTGCAGTTTTCTTGTATTTTGTTAATATAACATGCTTGAACAAATGCATACATGTTTGACCTTTTTGATTTTTGCACTCTGACCAAGGCGTGGGTGTCGTGTGATGTATTTTACTTTTTGCGGAAACAGGATGCTTGGTGTTTCAAAAAGAAGTATTTTACTTTGTAAAGCTTTGATGGTAGTTGCGGATGCTGGAGCCCTTCGGCGCTCTCGGGCCACGGCCCATGCCCAGGTAGCTGCAGGCTGCTTTCGCTGTGCCTCTCTTCTGCACCAGTCTCTGTCTCTGTCTCTGTCGTACCTCGCTCATTCAGTTTCTGACTTTGCTTTGGGGTAATATCGCTTGGACGATCACAAAGTTTATTTTTGCCTTTACCACCACTCTTGCTTCTGGATATTGATGATCAAGATCCGTCATTGGGGAGCTGCGCAACGTGATCAAGGCCTGTTGGGTCTGTGTCCTGGTGCTGAGCAACGACGTGGACGTGCAGGTCCCGACTGGTGATTGAAATCTGTTTTCACTGTATTTTTCGGACTGAACCCTAGCCCTTTCCATCGGCTCTCTCCGCTCTGCCGCCCTATATCCTCGTCGGCCCTGGCCTGCCAATAGTTCAACGCTTGGCGGTCGCACGATTCTCAAGTTCTGTTCCCGGAACCGGGAACACGATCAGCAAAATTGCTCAATCTTCATCCCGCTGGGCACCCGCCGCGGCGGCCTGGCATCACATCAACGCCATGACCGAGTATGCCCAAGTGCAGTTTGACAACCTACGCTTAAACGCTTCCGCTGACAAGGGATCCACCGCTCGCTATGGCGCCATTGTGGAGACCGTTCGCGGCCTGATTCCCGAATCGCGCGTCGTATGTACTTTCAATATCCCACACCGGCACTGCAAACAACCCGAGCTTTGCCCACCGCTCTGCGAACCATCATTCACGACCGTTCTTGTCTCGCAGTGCAAGTTGTTCTGCAAGGGCAGCAAATGCAAGCACTGCGACTACCATGCCCACGCCCACAACCCTCTCAACGCCTTTCGAGGCGTCAACTCCACCTGGTATCTCTTGCGCCTGGCCTCTAGCCCTCTACTCTTCTGCCGTCGGCTGATGTCCTCGCAACAATGTCTAAAGCACGACCATCGCATTGAATCCATAGGGTCACCGAGAATCTTCTGGCCATGTCGCGCCCGCTGCAGGGGGCCATTGACGCATATCACTTGCCCAAAAAGTTTGCCGAGTAAGCGCACGCGCACGTAAATATGACTATCCGTCTTCTCTGTCCGTCTTGTCGGCATATCTTATCTGCCAATCCATGCCAGTGTCAGTGTCGGTGATCCGCTCCTTGAGGGGGTGTTCAGCAAACACCTCTGTGTATCCACACCTCACTGCCCTTTTGGTGCATGATAGGGCTGGCATCACCATGGTTTTGAATCTACAGGAACCCTTTGAACATTCACACTGTGGCGCGGGGGTCAACCGCCATGGCTTCAGCTACAGCTTTGAGTCTTTCCAACAGCAAGGCGGTACGTGGCGCCACATTGCGCGCCAGTTGGGCCTCAAAAGCCCTCACCCTAAAGCATGTCTGAATCAATCTCCCTCCGCTTCGTCTTGCAGTTACCGTCTGCAACTGTGCTTGGGTCGATTTCGGCTCGCCTCCCATGGAACGGGCCCTCGATATCGTCAAGGTCGGCTCTTTAAAGTGCCTACTTAACCTCACTTTCACCCGCGTTTGCCCTGGCCCAACCATCCCATCTACGCTCATCAACGCTTGCTCCGGTCTCGGCTTTTGGCAGATTATGGCATCAGTCATCCAGGAGGGTGGCAAGATTGCAGTGCACTGCCATGCTGGCCGAGGCCGCACGGGCTTGATCATTGCTGCCTATCTCATTTTCCACAACGGTCAGCCCACACTACCAAGCATCATTTGATGCCTTTGGCGTTGCCATTTTGACCGGTCCCAACCGTGGACCCGCTTTGCCATAGACTACACCGCTGCCAAAGCAATTCGCCTTGTTCGCTCTCAGAGACCCAAGACCATTCAGACCCGCAAGTGAGCATAGGCGACCTTCATATGCTGCATTGGCCCGGCTTGCCAAGCGCTCGACTTGATCCACCCTGTCACCGCTTGAGTCACCTTGCACCTGCTCTCGCGCGATAGCCAAGTCAAGTTTCTTGAAGAATTTGACATGTATCTCCATCCTCGCCGCGCTGTTTATCACCACGTGCCGGATGAAACGGAGCAACTCACGCTGCGCGAGGCTTTGGAACGCGAGCGCACTTGGCTCGTGGGGCAAAACGTGGATATTTACCGCTATCGCAGCTTGGTGCGTTGCCCTTGCCTTCTCCTTCGTCCGTTGTCTCGCTCGTCAAGATTCCCCGCTCCGCCTGACAATATGTGCAACAGATGGTAGACAAGGTTTGCACACTACTTCAGCAACATGCTTTGGTCAAGCCACAGGATGTTTGTGACGCTCTCATGCTCACACCTCGACATGGAAATGAGGGCTTGAACGAAGTGTTGGCAGACATGACGTAAGTTTTGGTCACTGATTGACCTTGGTTGGCTTCCAAATTCCCACTCAAACAGCCCCCGTCTTGTACTAGATCAAAGGTCAACAAACACGAGTGGGATGAATTGGAGCAATTTGATGCTCTTGCTCTCGCCGCCTTGCTGCTCGGCTGGCTGCGCCAACTTCGCGAGCCCGCCATGACTCCGCTTGAAGTGCAAAGCGTTGTGCGTGGCGAGCCCTTGGACCCAGGTCAGAGAACCACCCATCGAGCTTTTGCCCTCCCGATTGCTAGGCGACAAGGGTCAGCCGACACACTCATTTTTATTTGGTTGTGATAGCCGTACTGGAGCTCCTGGTCTGCTTTAAACCTCTACTCTCGCAGGTACGATGGTTGGCCAACAAGACTCGACCTCACTTGCCTGCCCAAACCCTGCGCGCTTTCTGATTGCGTGGCCTGGTATTTTGTTGCAACAGCTTCGTGCCAGTGGTAGCCAAGAAGAGGACTTGCTTGCTGCCACGACCATGTTGGCGTTTGCATTGATTCGGGTCAGTATGCACTCCTTTTTGGCATTGCCGGGGCGTCAACCATTGAGTGTCACTAGCTTGACCGTACCTTCCTATGGTTTTGCAGCCGGATGGCCACCAGGCACCACCTCCAGCTCCTGCCGAATTGCAGACAGAGGGCTCGGCATCCCCGCAAGCTGAGGCGAAGCGGACTGAGGGGGAAGATGCAGTTGGTCAACTCGTGACCTGGCTGCTCGATGCTCAACCCTGCACCCTTGCCAGCCTACGGCTCGAGCATAAGCCAGAGCAGAGCCAGCCTCAAGTATAAGCTCAAATCGTAATTGCAGGACGATCTCAAGTCTAAAATACGCTCCCCCGCGATTACAGCAAAGGACGGCCTTGTAACAGTCGCACATCCCACGAGTGTGGGCAACAACATTGGAGAGAATAAAAGTCTCATCTTTTAATTCGAATTTGAAACAGACAAAAGTTATATCTGTCAAGCTGGCTGCGTCACAGGCTTTTCTGTGCGCACAAGGCTGTCCGATTGCGTTCTGACAAAACAATCAAGCAAGAACAGACTAGAGTACACTGTGAGGGATTTGTCCAGATCTTGTGCTCAGCAGTGCTCATGAACGCTCAGCGTTACTCTCTCGCACTCGTTGCTCAAGGCGGTGAACTAGCGTGGGGCGAAGCTCCATGAGCTTCCGGTTCAGACCCTCTATGCCATCAAGTGACAACACTGCACACATTGTAACCCGACCTCGCCGGCTCAGTACGCGGGCCAGCTTTATTCGACTAGGGGACCAACGCCGATCGCACAGGCAACCATCAGTGAATATTTAACGGAAGCAGACGACTGCAAGCACAAAGTCAGCAGCGCAAACACAAACAACTTGTGTCAGGCCGAGTATCCTCTAACTTTAATGTGAAGAACACAGGTGTGCCCGTCTCCGAGGCAATCTGTAAAATCTGATGAAGATTATCATCCAGTGCCCCTGCCAATCACGCTCGAAATGAAAAAATGATGAAAGACAACTGCACCACAACTCGACATGCGTGCACTGCCCGCACAAACAGACCTGGAACGTTGGTTCGCTGCTGGTCGGGTGCAACCAGAAGCAGCTTGACTTTTCCCAACGCCAACTTGCGATGGCACTCGTTGGCCCCAAGTACCAAGCGTCTTCGCGCCTTGGCCTGCATTCAAGCAACAGCGTGCGCCTGGTGAATGAGCAGAGTGGTATGGGTGCCCTATGTTTGAGGCCATGATGCAAAAATTGGGAATGCTCACATTCATCGGATTCTTCTCAACAGCACGATTATAGAACCGCATGCTGTCTTTGAGCAACTGTTTGACGGTCTCATCGACCTCGGGGTCTAAAGCATGATCACAATATCTAGTTTGCAGAGGATTGAGAGATGAAAAGAAACCAAACCACAGCGCGATGCGAAGGCACGACAGGCAACGGCCATGATGTGAACAAACGCGTTTGCAGAGGAGAGCAGACACGCACTCTCGGAAGTTATTACTAAATAGGCGGGGTGCACGGTTAGGAAAGAAGTTGGACTCAAGGGCAGGCATCGTTCTTGCAGACGTTGGCGATGTGAGCTTCCGTTGAGGTGGCTCTGATTTGCTCTCGTCCAAGGTCAATGAGGTGGACACTGCGGCCGTTAATGAAGATAAGGCCTCTGGGTCGTCCACACCTTTGACCGTGGATGGTTCAGAGCTGTGCGACTTGCCTTCCCCCTCGGGACTCGGCGATGACGGCGGATCGGCTGGTATCTGTGCTCTTGACTCGGGCATAATACTACCGCTTGAAGATGCGCCCGTAACGTTTTCGTCGTGAGCTCGACGGCGGGCCGTCTGCTCCTCCTTCATGAGTTGGCGCATTTGACTGGGCTTCTTCTCCTTGCGCACGGCACGCTCCTGTGGTGCGTGTCCAATGAGAGCCGTGGATGCCCGTAGTTGTAGAAGCACGTTCAAACACAGACATACCTTGCCACGACGTCGGGTTGGTGCGGTGGCATCCAGCTGATTGACCCTGGACGCGATTGCAAATGACGTGAGTTCGCGAAGCGTTGTTTCACAGAGTGTGTGTGTGTGTGTGTGTGTGTTTGGATTGCCCGACGCACCTCGCGCCCAGTGGGCTTTGCTGGTTGGCTGGATTGCCATTGGCACCGGGACGCTTCTTGCCGCCTGTGATACCTCGCTGAGATGATGTCTTTTTGCCACTCTGCTCGAGCGCTTTGCTGCGCTGCGCCTGATCAATGAGCAGACCAAAATCGAGCATAGTCGAAGGGCCCGGTGCTTCAGCATCGTCGGACGCCGAAGTGTCAGACGCATCGAGCCTTGAGAGATGTGATGCAGCGGCTGGAGACGGCGTCAGGGCAGCTGAAGCTGCCAAGTTGGCCCGCTCTTTGGCCCGTTGTTTGGCCCCCTCCAATTTTGCCGCCTTCTTGCGTCGACGATTTGCCTTGATCGCTGCAGGCACAGCATGAGCTAGGTCTGACACAGACAGACATAGAACAAGGCGACATCGCAGCAGCACGTACCAGAGGCAGTTTTGGGCGCATCCTCTGCGCGTGGCTGGCGGCCTGGACGCCCTGGAGGACGCTTGGCATGCTCATCTCGTTTCACCCTTGCTGGCTGTTGGAGAACCTTTGACCAGGAGAGGCCTGATGCCAGTCGGGGCTCGCCTGCTTCTGGAGCCGGCTTGATCCCCCGCGACGGCTGAGGTTGAGGTACTGCTTCATGCCGCTGCGACCAGTGCAAGCATTGTCGACCCAAATCAGATGCGCCCTCTCGACATGCATTCAACACCAAGACAGCCAGCCAGTCAACCCGCTCCACACACGCCACAGACCTGCAAGATCCGCCGCGGCTGCGCCCAGCCTTGCGTGGCCATGATGGCTCTCTCGTTTCGTTCTCTTCTTGATGACAATGAATGGTATGCAGACAATTTCTTGTCTTGTGTCTTGATTTTTCGTGTTTTTTTTTCATTTTTTTTTTTTTTTTTTTTTTTTTTTTTTTTTTTCTTCTCTGTCCGTCGTTCCTCCTTTTTCTCCTTCTGCTCCTGCTTCTTGTTCTTCTTGTTCTTTTTCGGATCCAATCACAATACGAAGATGATAATATTATGGGCGAATTTCCTCCTTTGGGTGCTGCAATGGGCTGACGCGACAGTTGGAGAGAAAAAAAGATATCCTGATATCCTCAAGAGGAGATGATGTTTACACATGACCTCACAATACTTCAAATTGTACAGCAAGCTGTGACTTTCGCTCGCGCTGAATTTCGTTTGTTGGAGGGGTCGCGTCACGGCTCCTATGCATCAACTAGGTATTTTCGATTCACAATGATTATCATCCTCTCAGGGCCAGATAAGAAGAACGAGCAGGCAGCCGATTGTGTGTTTCACGCCAAGGAGGCCATCGACACTCTGACGTCTTTCGGAACTCGCGCTGCGCAATTCCGCAATCGCGCACGGTCCATACTCATATCACAGGCATTCTATACACGGAACAAGAAGGTCTGCCAAGGGCACACATATTCTAACGCGGGCCTTTGATTCGGGGGATCTGGGTATCAACGAAGGCGCTTTCAAAGCGGGCCGGCACAAGCAGCATCAAAATTCGATCGCAAGCGATGCGCGAGCACCAGCATCACACCGTTGGTCCAGCCAAACCCTGCGTGTGTTGACACAAAATGAAGGTGATACAGCTACAGTGGTTTGTCCAGCCGACCGCGGGCGGACAAGGTGCTGGATAATGGTGCAACAACGCACCTGCTTGAGGAACATATTCACCGCCAGATCCTGATTGTCCTGGATGGAAGGCATTGTACTTTTCGAACATGGCAGTCGAGGAGACCCAACCTTGATAATTGGAGCGCAGCCATCGACAGGCTAGCGTGGTGGCCAGCGACTTTGCAAAAGGCGTATTTACCCGATCCAGTCCTTCAATCAGCATGAGCTGCACAGGCGCCCACGCTGATGGAGAATCCCACTGCTCAGGCAAAAACATCAGCTGTGAGGCGGGGAAAACGTCAGATGGACGGCAAGCACGATGGTGTCGGACGTGACCAACCTGCTGCGATGTGTTCAAGGGCGTAGTGACGACACCCCCGATTTCAACCAGCGAGCTTGCCAGCGCGGTGGCTGATGCGTTCAGGATCGTCTATGCGTGTTGTCCAAACGGCAATTCAAGAGTGGGTTTGGGCAGCCAAAGGCTTGGTGGTGCGAGCCTGCCAGATGGCTACCAGAAGAGCAGCACGCAAATACTCGAGGGCATACTCGAGGGCATACGAGCAAACGCACCGTGTTGCCGGTGATGTTAGCCCACAGAGGAATAAAGGCGGCAGCTGAGAGTCGATCGGAAATTTGAGTGCCCTTTGGCAACAACAAATCATGCCAGCAGCCACACGTGGCGTTGTACATGGTATCCATCATGCCCGCAGCCCGTGCGTCAGCTGCCGATCGATACACGGAAGCATTTGTCCAGCCCACTACCAAACGGTGGTGCAATTACCAGAGGGTCGGTGTCCGACGTCAATACATAACCTGGACACAACGGACGGGAAGAAAAACACAGGGCGCGGCTGCAACCTACCGCGATCAGCAATGGTGGCCAGGTGCCGATCCACGATGACCATGATGGCGTTGAGGTCGGCCGGCACGACGTGACTCGTACGAATGGTTTCCATGCGCATCGGGTCGGCAAACCACCGAGACGAAAAGTCCCAGCCTGCAACAAACAACATGGTCATGCAACAACGGCGGTCCAAAGCAGGGGGTTGAACAAGACGCGATTCGCCATGTTATCTGCAGCTACAATCAGCCACAATGGGGACACGAACCGGTCTCAGCGCCTGTGGCAACGTCGCGGTAAAGTTGTTCGCGGGTCGCCTTGTCAGATGCGTTCTGAGCGAGATTGACGTCCTCAAGGTAAGATTCGGGACGCGGCAGGGTGGTGTTGGCAAAATAGCGGGTCAGAAAATGGGTTTGGCCGCTGGCGCCCGATACTGAAACTGTGTGACTGTAGTTGGAGCAAGCCGCCACTGTGGACAAGGTTGAGCAGGCCGGCAGGGTCCAAAAATCTCGTTCCATCGCAAGCAAAGGTGCGGCAAGACGCAAAAAATCGGTGTCGGGATTCGCTTCATCCAGAAGCATGACCATGGGGGTGAGCAGCGGGGGCTGGCTTCGTGTATGATAGTACACTCGCATGCCGTTGGGGACAAAGCCAAATTGCTGAAGGACAGTCAAGAAATTGCGCACGACATTCTGAGCGCTCTGATACATGCCCGAGAGGACAAGGCCACGGAGAATAAAGTAGGTGTCCCAGTAGTATTGCTCACGAAAGCGGCCACCGGGCACGATAAAGGGGTAGGGCAATGCTAAGAGCGTGTGTCGTTCCTGAGTAGCATTGATGCTGGGGTCTGTCTTGCGGCCCAGCTTGTTCCAGATGGCATGGACGCCTGACGCCCAGTTGGCAAGTCTAAAATACGTCATGGAGTGGGGTGCAAAGGTTCAATCAACGAAACGGCTCAGGAAAAAGGTGATGGGTGAGCAGACCGGAGGATTGTCAAACGGCAGGACTGACTTGGCGTCTCTAATCTGGCCATAAAACGGCAATGTTTCCGGCCAGTCGGCAGGCGAATGTGGCAAGAGGTCGATGCCTGCTTGGTCAAAGTTGTCGTCAACAAACTGCTTCAACTCGGCCATGGAATAACCTGGGAGGGTAGCATGCACATCAGCAGACGACGGATGGGGCCTCGTGCAACCTGAGGCTGGCGGGCGCACGCACCGTCGCCAAGTTCTTGAAAGGCCTTGAGGACGTCTTCTGGACTACACCACCCAATCAAAGCAATATGAACGCGGGCTAGTTTGGGCTGCTCAAAGCCTGAACACACCAGGGCAAGCCGGTAAGGATTGCGGGCCAAACGATCAAGGGTGACATACTCGCGCAGCAAAGGTCGGTCAACAAAGGTCTTGCTGTCGTTGTAGAGCCCATTCATTTGAACAGCATTGAGCAAGGGACCCTGACAAAAGACTGTGCATGCGCGACCATATCTAAATAGCGTCAAAGCTCGAATCCCAGCGGGCAGAGAGAGCGAGTGGTCAGCAAGGTCCAAGCCCAATAAAGTGTCGGTCCTCCATGAGGAGGGGGCTTGCTCGTCAGAGGGATACGCACGGGTTGCCCTGGTGGTCACGATGGCGACGCCAATGGTCGCGGTTGGGCACAACGATGGCCACGACCAGAGCTAGCATGCTGATGAATATCAGGCCCGTTGTGACCGGGTTGGCCTTGACCAACAGGACAAACTATTGATCCGGTCCGGTCCGGTCCCGCAGCCAATGAGGTCGATGATGAGCAAGGCAAACAAACCGCAACCGTGAGGGCCTGATCCACTCGAGACACCAAAACACGCACCCGTTTCAGCAATGACTGTCGATGGCGCAGCTGGTGCAGATGGGTCTCGTGCACGGCATCCTCAACCTCCTCCGCATCCTGCTGGATCAGCGCCCGCGCCTCAACCCGGCGTTCCTCCGCCTCGGTGGCCATCCTGTGTGTGTGTGTGTGTGTGTGTGTGTGTGTGTGTGTGTGTGTGTGTGTGTGTGTGTGTGTGTTTGTGATGTAAACTATTGCGCATGTTAAGCAATCTGCCTTCTCTTTCTCTCTGTTTTTTTTTTTTGTGTGTTTCCTCTGTCTCTGTCTCTGTCTCTCTCTCCGCGCCCTCCCTTCTCATGCTTTCTGACTCACTGTGCTCTAGTGTGGGCCTTGTAGTCATGCCATCAGCCTTCGGTGCTTCTGGCTTAATTGGGAAATCATCCTTTTTGGGGGGTTGTTGACCAACACATCAAAAACGAACATCAAAACCGACTGCAAACATTTTCTTAGAGGTCATCGAGATCGTCCTCATCGGCGTTGTCGTCCTCTGGTGGGGCGTCGTCCATGGCCTCGTGACTCGGCTCGGGTTGAGATAAGAAGGACGAGGCCTGATCTTGGCTAACTCCGCCCGTGTTGGTCTCTTCCACAGTAATCAAACCAAGGTTGTGCTGCAAGAGCGCCGTGGTAAAGTGTTGCGCCTTACCAGTCTCGCACTGTGAATCCAGCCGATCTTTGAGCTCCATCACTACATTCCAGCGAGCAAAAAAAAAAAAAAAAAAAAAAAAAAAAAAAGGAGCACAGCGCCATCAGCGGCCAGCGCGTGACATCAGCCAAAGCCCATAGGCCGATGGTGCCCACCACGTACAAAAGGCATTGTAGACGGTGGCATCGTGATCCTTGCTGGCTCGGCGCATGGCCTCGACCATGGCCACAAATTTGCTCAAATCTCCATCCATGTAGAGATCGACAAATCGGAAGATCTGATCGGCCAGCTGGCTTGATACAGCTTCGAGGTTGGCAAAATTCTGCAAGCAGACGTACCTCGTTGAGCATACACGATAGGGCCACAGAATATAGAGAGGAGATAAAACACAAGCCTCGGCAAAAAGCACGGGATGCTCTTTGAGCAGAGAGCACAGACCTGGCTCTGCAACAACTCTTCATAGTCCTCCACGGGCCGCGATGAGCCCACTTGCGTCACACCCGCCAGGATATTGGCCTACAAAAAACCACGTCATGAGCTTTCAAGCTATGTTGCATGCGCCAAAGACGCCGTGTACACACCGCGGCGTTGGTGTCGAGCATCTTCGCATCCTTGACGGCACTGCCATCGTCATCGCCAAATAAATCGTTGGCATTCCGTTTGCCGGATGTTTTGACCTCCTAACATAAGATATGGCCGTCAGCATGCTCATGGAGCAACCCCAAGCGCTGGACAAAGGACTCATGAGACAGTCACTTACATTGATCTTGAGCGGGAAGAGCTGGGTCAGCTTGGGAGTCATAGCCGCCATCTTTTTTGCCAGATATGGGTGTGGTTCAATGAATCTAGCCAAGCGCCAAAGTTGAGGCTCAGCAAGTAGAGTAAACACCCAGGACCCTGGTCCAACAAGGGTTGTCCCAGCAGCATTCATGAAACTCACTTGACAATTTCTGGGTCAATCGCAGGAAGCTGATCACCAGGGTGCAGCACTCGGTGGGGCACGGCCAAGTTGTACATCTGGATGGCAGGATTGAAGGTGTCCTCCGGCTCGAGTGCCTCAACTGGATCCCCATCCTCATCCTAGCGGCCCAGTGGATCGGAGCAGCAAACCAAGAGCCAGGCCCAGCAGGAGTGAGCAGATGATACGTGGGCCTTGATGATGCAGAGGGTAGATGGCGTCTGATCATCCTGACCATCCACGCCCACATCGAACAGTCCCAGTATGCATTTTCGGCCGACGTACCGGCACATTCATCAAGTCTAGAGCTGAGACAAATGCGTCCATGGCGGCTTGAGGTGTGTCGGGCAGGTCGTTGGGGTTCGAGGCCCCAGTGGACGCTGTGGCAGGCGTGGCCTGCTCCTGGCAATGAAGTTCATTTATCAGCGACTTGAGCGAGGGGAAGCCGAAATGGCGGGCGTCTTCTTGAAATGGCAAGAGGACAAAGTGCAGGGCGCGTTGGCGTCGGCTCTTGCCATCCAAGACGGCTGATGCGCCTACAGAGCTTCCGAGGCTGCTGCCAGTGGCTGGCCCATGCCCATCAGAACCCTCATGCTGGTCCTCTCCATCCTCCTCCTCCTCCTCCTCATCTTCATCTTCATCCGCCACCAACTGACGCTACAGTCCATACGATTCCTTACGGTAAGCATCAACCAAATCGCGCATCGCCAAAGCACCGGTGCAAGCGCATGTCTCTGAGCAATGCACAAACGGGAAAGAGCATGCCCAGCTTTGGGCTTGAACGCTTGTTGTAAACATAGGCGACAATGGCCACAACGCGACGTTTCTCCATGCCAGCCACAAGGGCTGCAAGATTCGAGGGCGAGGGGCAGTTGGTGGTGATGAGCACGGCTCTAGGCATGTGCAGGAGGTCGCGGGGCGTGGGGACAAACCATCAAGAGCAATGGCCACGGCTGGCTCGCTGCCAGGTTTGGGAATGAAAAGTTTGACGGAATCTCCCATGTAAACATGGCGAGGAATCTGCCATGCCAAGCAACAAGGTCAGATGTGAAACACAGGGAAGGTCACAGAAGCCACCCACCCACCACCACAACAGCAGCAACAACAACATCACCACACATCAACACATAAGAAAAACAAAGTCAACAATGAACACACTCTTCGAGGGGAAGGGTGTGTACTGTTAGTGGAGCTTACACTGGCGGCAGGGGCAAAGTAGAGCGTGGTAAGCTGTTTTTCCATTTCCACCTTGTATTCGGGGTTGGACTCGGCCTCTTCAGGCCATGGAATTAACGTGGAACCGTAGCGATACGCGCGCTGCCGATCGTCCTTTTGGATCTAGCTCCAGGCGGTCGGTGGCACCATCCCACAAATCGGTGAGCCTGTGCTGCTGATAGTGCATGTGTGCGTGCATTTTGCGAGGGCTCACGGCCATTCTGGGGCGCGAACCTCGGTTGCCATTTCGTCATCCAGGTGATAGGTAACTTCACGTTGGACCTTGCCGCTGTCACCGTCGCTTGGGTCCTAATGGCAAGAGTGCAGATCCCAAATTTGGACGTGAGCGTTGTGCAGTCACAGCCTGCGAGAAACCTGCGAGAAACGTCGAGCCGTACAATCTCCACTTGATTGGAGAGCTTTTTAAATGTGCTGACGGTCGCTCGCTTGACGATATCATAGCCCGAAACGGGAATCTATGAGGACTCGCAAACAAGAGTAGCGTTAGCATGCGGCTCACGTTTGCCAGCTGGAGCAATACACAAAATAGATGCGTGCGTGAAACGCACCTCGACATTGGCAACACGCAGATTGACATTGAAGGCTGCGGGCTTGACGACACGCTTGCGAAAGAGTTTGAGCATGTCGCTAATTTCTCCAAAGTTATAAAGCTGGACGAGAGGCATGGTCACAGCGCCACAAGTGAGCTGCCGGTGGCGCGTGGAGAGGTGGAGCGAGCCGACGCAAGGCGGCTCGGGCCAACCTGGGCTCCCAAGCGTGAACCAAAGTCTTGAAGCGTTGTCTGTGGTCAGAGGCAGAATAGATGAGTTCTCAGGACAGGAGCGCTGAACCACTCAGAGGGCTCTGTTTTGCTAGAGCTAGCATCTCCCGAGACATACGTGGGAAGGCGTGGCTTTGCTGGCATCCGCGAGCGAGGCATCGTCACTGAGCTGGATACCGCTGCTCGTGTGATAGGCATACATGACACAAACCAGAATGAGATTGGCAGAAGAGCAAAGAGCACGGCAAGCAGTGAAGCGGAACGCACTACACGAAGGACTCAAGTTTCAGGTCTTGGGCCACGTTGATGAGCGCTGAAGCGTGGTCTGAGCCGTCGTCCTCACCCGCGGTGGACACGATTGTCTGGTCTATTTGGGGTCGCATACATGATCAAACCCGTAGCGGGCTTGTGAGATGACCCCAAGAAAGGGTGCGGTGGATGTCATGATTGTCAAGATAGCCTTGCAAACGCGGGCGTACTGGTAAAGAGGTGGAGACGCATCTGCATCTTGCTCGCTTTGGTTTTGGACTCTGACCGCAGCGCTTCTTGGCGTTGTTGCAGCAAAGCCAGACCCGCCGCAAAACCAACGAGAACTAAGGGTCGAAGATGATGAGGGTGAGAATCAGCTCTGCGAAATGAGACCCGCAGCAAACGAGGGATGGACAGAGAGGTGGCTGGACACACAGTCGGAACTGGCGTCAGAGTGTTCGATCGAGGTTTCCAAGAAGCGCAACAGTTCAGGCGATGCCTATGAGGAAAAGACAGAAACAGTAAATGCCAAAGGAGGGCAAGGTCGGAGGTCGCGAGTGCTGGGCGAGCTGTTGTGATTCCAACAGAGTTTTTGGGCCGGGTGCGAGGAAGGCATGGCCTACAGGTTGCAAGGTGGACACGACGTGAACGCCTTCGAAAAAACCAGATTCGTCCTCCAAGTCGTGCTCGGTTGTGGCCGCCCCAAACAGGACCAGCGCCACCTCATGCTTGGGCGTCAGCAGCACCTGCGCTCCAAGGCCAAGGGTGGTAGACAGATCGCGGGCTCATGAGTGCAGCCCCTTTTTCCAAAGTTTACACAAACGGGGATTCGACCAGAAGCCAAAGACGTACGCGATTGCGAATCGAGTAGGAGAGAGCCGCCACCGCCGCTTCAAGATGAGATCCAAACCCGCGCAACTTGGGCTGGGGCAACGCCATGGCGTGCCCCACATCCAAGCAGTAGACGTGATACTCGGTCATGTCGTCGTGTTCACTGGCGCCGCCGCCTCCTCCTCCGCCCCAAAAACACGCTCAAACAAGTTTTTCTTGTTTTGCGCGAAAATCCTCCGATCCCGCAAATGTCAGAAAAAAGAACACCCATCGCCTAATTATAGAACGGATGAAGAGAAGTAATTTACTTCCATAGTTTGCAAGCAGCATGTTGTGCTATCCTGTGCTCTTGCCTCCCACCGCCCTTATCGCCGGTGCATCTGCCATGGTCAAGTTGCCGGCGGCTATTCACGATGCATAATACATGTAGCAATGATCAACGGGATGGACTCGTCGCGCTTTCCAGCAGGCAAAGGCCAGGACAGTATGTGAGGCAAAGGACCACTCGCTCTGTCCCTATAGTAAGACTTTTTCCCTCCTCACGTATTTTGTCTGACAATGATGATCGTGTTGTTGTGTTGTGGGTGCCAGTTGGAATCCCTGGCCCTCTGCTTCTTCCTCTATTATAGATCCATCTTCATTACTTGAATCTACATATACTTCTAGATATAATACTGAAACTTGAACTGTATACATGAACAACACTTCATAAAGGCAAAAATATGCTTCAATAACTCTATAGTAAAACTACAATAACCTCAAGATCAGCAGCATTAACTCCCACTTACACACACACACACACGAGCGGCTTTTCCCAAAAAAAAAAAAATCTCGGCAGCGCGCGCTGGCTGGGAGTGTGTGTCAGTGTGCGTGTGAGTGTGTGGTCTGCCAGTCGTCGTAGGGCAGCGATCTCGGCTGCTGAAGCCTTGTTGACCTTTGCCTTTTGCCGTGGTGTCCCGTTTGCAACTGCGGAGCTTGAAGTGGAATTAAAGAGTTGATACCATCAGGTTTGTGGCACTTCAAGGCGCGCGAGCTCCCCCGTTCTCCAAAGGAGAGCCTGATCATCCTTCTCCCCTCCCATTCCCTCCCCTGCCTTCCCCTCCCCTCCTCTCCCCTCTTCTCTCCCCTCTTCTCTCCCCTCTTCTCTCCCTGCCTCTTCTTCTCATGCTCCGAGCCGGCTCTTAAACTTTTTTTTCCCCTCTTCTGACCTCTCTATTCTGCCCAGAATCTGTCTTTTGCACCCCGCATGTCTTGACGTGCTTGTGCCTGCGTTCCGCTCACCTTATTCCCAACGTCTTGCTTGCTCCGCGGTTCCTCCCACGTGCTCATCTTGTAGGGGTCAGACAAGCGTTATTCCACCTTGCCACGCCAACCACAGTCATGGGACAGTCCCTGTCCGTGCCAGGCATGGCATTCCTGCCGTTTCGACCTTGGGACGTCGTGTTCACGCCCAACGCCTTTTTGGATCCCATCTTCAAGTCTAGCAAGGATGGGGACTACGTGATCCGTCGCGTCCTTCATGATCCAACCACTCTTGAACTGCTCGTCAACGATGGCGGTAACCGCCTCCGCTACGCCATTAAATACGAAGAGGATCAATACCACTTTGCCGGCCAGAGCTTTGAACACTTGGATATTCTCCTCGCCCACGTCATGCATCAAGGCGTCAAAGGTCCCCGTGGCACCATCCACCTTCGCGACTCCCTGGCCCGCGAGCTGCGCGAGCGGTTCGTACTTTGATCCCAGCCACTCACTTCTCACCCTCCACTCAATCCCGCGTCAGCACTCGTCCTTCTCACCCACCTGCCCCCTTCCGCCGTCCCTCTGCTGCTTCCACCACACAGACTGACGCATTACATGCCCATGTACAGTCCATCCAGCTGGTATGTCGGCAAAATCAGCGCCGCCGAAGCCAAGATCATGCTTGATACCGAACCCTGCGGTGTGTGCCCATCCTCCATCAGGCAACTTTTCGCTCTTTTGCTCCTTTCGCTCTTGCGCTAGAATGATGGTTCAAAAAATGACGGGGCCGGCGTTGGGGAAGCTTGACCTCACACTTGTTTGACGACACCTTGTGCAGGCGCCTGGCTTGTGCGGGCCAGTGCCGAAGAACATGCCTACTCCCTCATGGTCAAGGACATGCGCGGTGACATTAACAACTTTTTGCTGACCGAGGAGCCCAAGGATGGAGGCATTTGCCTCGGAACGAGCCGCTTTGACCGAGTGGACGACCTCATTCGTAAAATCAGCAAATCCGGTCTCAAGTGCAAGTCTGGCAAGGTTCACCTGCGAGAGCACTTGTACGGCCCAATCGCCCCTCGCTCTTGGAGCTCGTCTCACCTATTCCAGCGCCTTGACAGCCGCTCATGCGAAACAATTCGCTGTTCTCACAATAGCGAGACTCACCATGCCGAGGAACCCACAACACCACCCGCGGAGCCCGGTCTCACGTATGTAGGCATCTTGCACTGGCTCATCATGGCCACATGCGCTTTCTCATCCTTGCGTGACCGGCCACACGCAGCTTGGATGATGACGCCACCGTGCAACCCTTGGGCGATCAACCGTGCGTTTTTTGGTTTTCCCTTGATCGTTGCCACGCCCCATCTCGTTTTGCTCCCTTTGTGCAAGAAGGCCCCACCCACCCAAAATCCCAATCAAGCCGTCTCTTTATGTTGGGCGTCCTTTTGTCCCGGCTTTTCATCTTGCGTCGCGTCATCTTACTTTACTCTTGGACCTAGGGTGGTGCAAATGGAGGGTGCCAACGTGTACAACTCGGCGCTGGCTGCGTCTGCCCACGAACGACCCAAGGGTGGAAGTCATGCAGCCATCAATTCTGAAGCCGGCGTTGAGGTTGACAGCGACCCCCCAGCCGCGTGCGACTGGTATGCAGGTCGGGTGAGCCGGCAGGCCGCCGCGGCCGTTATCCTTCAATCTCCCAACGTGCGCCCTGGCGACTTTTTCTTTCATCAACATCCATTGGAGGAGAACGTTTTCTATTTGACAGTCAACGACCACGACCGTGCCGCCCAATACAAGATTGCTCGCAACAGCGCTGGCTACGTGTTTGGGCCCAAGACCTTCCTGACCCTGCAACGCCTTCTTGAAACCGCCCGACGTACAGGCCTCAAAGGCTCGCAGGAGCAGCTCAAGCTGGGCAAGCCGGTGGCACAACTTCTCAGTGAAGTGGCCGGTCACCGTCTGGCCGCTTCGTCAGATAGCAATCATCATGATGATGATCAGGACTTGGGGGATGCCCAACTGGTTGGATCCTCCGAGGGCCGCGTGGGCTCCCTGACTGCACGCTCCGCCGATCCTCCGGTGGCCACCGAAGGTGGCAATAAGATGAAGCTTCGCAAGCTGGGGCAAGCCATGGGTCACAAATTCACGCAAATGAAGCATGCCATGAAGCGCCACGGCAAACAAGGCGGTACCGACTCAGCCCCTGGCAGCCCAGGACCTACCCGCGCCGCTGCTGCGCACGCCACGTCGGACGCTGCTTCGGTTCCAGTACCGTCGGCGGTTCGAAATCAAGAGGAGCAACCCGTGCCTCCTCCACGCTCCCACGAGCCTCTTCCGCCCGTGCCCACTCGTCAAATTCCCGAGGATGTCCTTAGTGGCAGCCTAGACAAGACACAGCCCTCAAACGCAAGCCAAGGCCCCTCGTCGGCTGACTTGCCTCCCATTCGTGGCCGCACTCGCACCATGCAAATGAATCAACTCCTGAGCACGCTTCAAAAAGACCTCGACCTGCGGATCCTGCCCCTCGATATTCAAGGCTACAAGGAGCTGCCTCGCGGCGAGGTGTGCATGATGCCCTCCCATTCTTACCCCCCCTTTGCCATTGATTCAAGCTTCTTTGACATGGCTCATATTGTTTGCCCTTTTTTGTCTCAAACTTGACACCTCACTGCCGTGTGTGCCGTGTGGTGCGCCACATTAGACGCACGAGTCTGACCTGCCCGATTATGCCCGTGGACCTCGCTTAAACCGCTTTCGTGACATCTTGCCAAATCCCGTCACGCGCGTGCGTCTTGAACCTCTCGAGGTTGACCATACGTTGGAGTACATCAACGCCAACTACGTTCGCGGTATGTCTTGGGTATGCCGTGTACACCTAGGCAGCACCCGCTTGCTTGGCTCATCTAGATCCGTCCGCTCCTTGCGACAATAAACCGGCTCTGCTAGGTTTTGGTGGCCGCCGCGCCAAAGAGTATGTGGCAGCCCAGGCCCCCAAGGACACCGGCTTGTTCAACTTTTGGCGCATGATCGTACACGTTCAGGCCCGTTGCATTGCCATGACGACTGGGCTGGTGGAGGGTGGCAAAAACAAGTGCAGCCGCTACTGGCCCGCCACCATCTACGCCGAAACAAGTACGCGCGCCGAGTTTTGCATCCAACGGAAGGCAGAGTGCTGGACTCATGGCCCACCTTTGTTTTGTTTTTGATAGAGGAAGAGCTTGTTTATGGCCCGCGCGATGGCAAGATTCATGTTCGCACCATGCTGGTCACCAAGATGGAAGGCTACATCAAAACTAACATCCAAGTCTTATATCAAGGCAGCACGCGCAACCTCGTGCACTTTTGGTTTACTGCCTGGCCCGACCAGTAAGCCGTATACCTGCTTTGCTTTAATTGGCTCATTTTGTCTGCTGGGCCTGCTCAATGTGGCGCTCCCTGCTGGTTTTCCACAGTGGTGTCCCAACTCGGCCCGATGGGTCAATGCAGACACAGCAAATGATCGAGATGTTGTTGGACATTCGCCGCACACGCAACGAGCTGGATCGAGCGGTAAGTCGCACGCGCGTAACACACGTGGACTCAGCCCGGCCTTCTCTTTGCCTTTTTTGGTTGTTTCTCGCATCACCTCTTGTTGACCTGGCACTTGGCGTGACCTTGCGCTGCGTTTAGGAGTCGCCGCTGATCGTGCACTGCAGTGCAGGCATTGGCCGCACGGGCACCATGATTGCCCTTGATCACGCCATGTGTGCTTTGGACGTGCGTATTTGACCCAAGCTTTTCTGCGCGCTGTTTGCCAGCCACCTTCGTCAAGCTGTTTTGGCTCGTGCTTGAAACGTGCGCATCTCGCCTTCATTCCGCTCTCGCCATGTCTGTCCGGTACTGCGTAGATGGGCGTCAAGGTCGACGTTCTCAGTATCGTTGCCGACATCCGTGAAGACCGCATGGCCATGGTGCAGCACGTGGTTCAATATCGATACCTGTACCAGGCCGTGGTGGAATATGCCGAGCGCCTGGCCGCCCGCGAGCAGGAAGAGGAAGCTGCCCAGGCCTATGAGCAAATGCGAGAGAGCGGTGGTCCTGTGACCAAAAGCAGTGATAGTCGTGGCATTTATGCCGTTGCCGATGATAAGGAGGCAGCTCGTTACGAGCTGGACCAGTCATGGCAATTGCACTCTGTTCACAAGGGCTTCAAGGTGTATTCGTTGCGTGGGGCTATGAGTCTGCCTGCAGCAGCGGATGACCATGAGGCGACGTTTGCTCCCCGCGAGCAGGTTGAAGCCGGTGAGGTGATCACGTCGCCGGTCAAGCCCGTGCGCCTCAACGAGAGCTCAGACTTTATCGACAAACCCTGGTTTCGATCCAACTTTACGCGAGCCCAGGTTGAAGACCTGCTCTCAGGCACGCCACCAGGCACCTTTGTGGTGCGGCCATCATCCAAGAAGGATCACTTTGCGCTGAGCCTGCAGACAGTCCGTCACAAGATTGCCAACATGCTCATTGTACCCATTGCCCAGCCCAACGGCAAGTTTTTGTACAAGCTGGGTGCGTCCAACGATCAATCTTTCTCTTCAGTAGCCGAACTGGTCGAGCATTACCTTGAACATGGCATTCCCGCCGAATCACACGGCGAAATCATCCGTCTGCGTCGACTTTCCACCAACACGCGCAGCCTGCAAAGCGCACAGAACGCTGTCGCCCGCCTCAGTGCCAACAACGACGCCGGCTCCCACGTTCAGGAGGAGGAGGAAGATGATGAAGATGCCCAAGCCTAATTTGTGACTTGTGTTGTTGTTTTTTTCTGTTGTGTGTTGTCTGCCTGTGAGTTCTTCTCTTCTTCCGCCTCGGCATTATTTTCCTGATCGGAAGTAGCTCGGTGCCTTTCGTGGCTTGCACGTTTGCGATCGCATCAACGTATCTGTCCAAAACGCCGTACACCCATCCATTGCCATCCAACGCTTCCATCATCATCAACAATTGAGAAGAGGAAGTGGAAAAGGAAAAGAAAACTTTACGTTTGAAGTTTAAACATGTCAACCAAAGAAAAACCAAAATTTTAAAAATTTTGGATTTCAACGGTTTTGGGGTTTTTTTTTATCATTTTTTAGTGTGTGCGCGTGTGTGTGTCTGTGAAAGCCCGGGTCGTCGGGACGGCGGGACCCACGATTTGGGGCGTGCGAGCTTGCCTTGGAGGTCCGCAGAGTCATTCATCTGGGGGCTCAGGATGGAGGGCGTCGTTGAGCGCAAGCTCAAGCAGCTGCGCGAAAAGCTGAATGAGTTTGGCTATACGCAGCCGCTGGGCGTGGAGAGCCTGCCTTTGGCTGAGCGTCTTTTTGCAGACCTGCTCCATACCACAGCCAGCCTCAAGCGCATCAAGGAGCAAGCCCCAGACCGAACCGCAGGCTCGTCTGAAACACAAGCGCAGACAACGCGGAGCCACGATCCTCTTGCGATCGAGGCATATCAGGCCGACAATGCCCGCCTTGTCAAAGTGAGCCACAGTGACCAAGAGCACTCCCCGTCGATCTGGCTTTGCGTCTGTACGTATTGATTTGACCCCTGGCTAATTCTTCTTTGCTTTGATGAAAACTTGTCACAGGAAGTCAATCATTTGCACGGCGAAGTGATCCGGCGCAAGGATGCGGCCGATGCACAAATCAAAAAGCTAAAACACCATGCAACACAGGTCAGCAGACACATTCGCCGACGCCGACAATTTGAACACAACGCTCCAGAGAGTATGAGACTGCATCTTTTTTTTCCACGTTCCTCATTGCATGCACACCACCGTTTTTCGAATCCACGCGCACGTCGTCAGCTCGGGAACGAGAATCAGGATCTGCGCTTCCTCAACACGCAATATGCCCACCGCATTCGCGTTCTGGAACGTGAAACTGATGCTCAAAAGGCTCGGTTGGACGAGTTATTGGCCAAGAACATGGAGGTGCGTTAACCAACGCCTACCTCCTCCACGGCGGCTCTTGATGATTCTTCGTTTTGAGCGGCTCTGGCCTGCTCATCTACTTGCTTCCAGGCTGCCGTTACGTTGCAGGATGAAGAGCAACGTCGGATTCCTACGAGGCGCCAACGGATGGATATGAGTCACCTACTGCCAGAGGTTACCATGAGCGCTGAAAATGAGCATCCCTCCAGGCCTGCTGTTCCTCAAACCCGGCTTGATCTGGACGATGCCACCGCTCGCGAAATTGAACGATTGGAGGATGTGATCCGCCAACTCAAGCGAGATAGTCAAGCCGGAGAGACCCGCATTGAAGCCATGCAAGGCCAAATCGACCGCCGCGATGCTGAGATTCAACGTCTCAATGGGCTTTTGGAGGTTTGTCACGCACCTTCTGTATGCTGACTCTTCTTTTTTCCAAGATATGTGGCAGTGTGGTGGCAGAGCGTCGTCATTGGCCTCCTCACCTTGTTTCATCTCTTTTAGGGGGGGCGGCCGTTACCGGCGCTGCGCGCTGAGACGGCCCTCAAGCGAGAGGCCCGACAACAAGCGCACTTGGAAACACAGGTGGGATAGGATACCTGACGTGCAAGAACAAATTTTGGGACACAAGCAAAAAGCAAACGCTCCTGCAGGCCGCGCCCATTCCGATTCATGCGCAGCTGTTCGTCTGTCTCCTCGTTTCAGGTCGAGTTTCTGCAAACAAGCAACAAGGCCCTGCAGGATGAGTTGGTAACTATGGTCTCCACCAACGATGATAACGCTGCGCGTATTGCAGAGTTGGAGGCAGATAACGCCAAGCTGGCACAAGAGCTTGCACACATCCAACAGTGAGTTAGCCAAATCTCCGCGCATGCCCCATTTTGCAATGACAACGGCATGAGATCTCTGACAGTGACACACTCGCCAGGTTGGCCAAACAAGTCGAGACAGAGCGGGTGGCCTCCAGCGCGGCAGTCAATCGCCAGTTGACTCGGGAGCGCGATCGCTTGCACCGACAGCACGAAACCCTCAAAGAAAAGCTGCGGCATGCCAGCGAGCTTCAATCTGATGTCAAGCGGGTGCATGCAGAAAATCAGCATCTTCTGCGCGCTCTGCAAGATGCGGAAACGGAGATGGGTCGCCTGCAGGAGGACGTAGAAAAGCTCTTGGATGATAACGAGTGCGTCTGCATGCAACTGGCACCCCGATGCAGCTGCCTTCGTTCACTCACGCCACCGTTCTTCTTCGCAGCTATTTAGACACGCGCGTGCGTCAGCTAGCTCAGTTTAATTGGAGCCTACAGAAAGAGCTTCGGCAGCATGGTGCATCCGACACCACGTTCCGGGATTTGGCTCGCGCCGCAGAGGAAGCGCATCCTCAACCACGAAGCCGTCAGCCACGCGTCCGATTTGCGGAAGGGAGTCGCTCGCCTCATCCGGCTGGCACCAGCCCTGATCGCGCTCAAACCACGGAATCTGCAGCGGCCTCAACCCATCCATCTACTCCATCTAAACAAGCCATTGAGGAGCAGGTGAGATCATCGCAGGAGCAATGAGACCTTGCGTGCATGGGCCTCCACGTTAACTCCAACTCTTTCTTCTTGGGTGGCCACTAATAAATAGCAAGCGTTACAAGCAAAAATTGCCGATCTAAATGAAGCATTAGAGCGGCTTGAGGCGCAAGCCGCTGCTGGCGATTCAGCTAAAGTGACGCGTCTTAAGGAGCGAGTGGCAGAGTTGGAGCGTCAAAGCGAAGAGAGCAGGCAGGCACAAGAGGCAGCACAGCTGCAACTTGATGCCGCACGGGAGGAACACCACCAATCCGTGGCTCAACTGCGCGAAGAGCACGCCGCGGTCCTCTCTGCAAAACAACAGGTGCGTCTGCAGCCGATCGACTTGACGCGAGCACGGCATAATATCTCGACCAGGCCACCATAATGACACTCAATGCTGATCGCGTGCCTCAATAGCAACTTGAGACACAGAGCAAGGCCGCCGAGGAGGCACGGCAGCGCGTAGTGTCGCTTGAGGCCTTGGCAGCCATGTTTCAGCAGGAAAAGCAGGCATTGATTGCCGAAGTGGAGACCCACATGCAACAGGTATGCGGCGGCCTGTGTGAGATGCTCAATCGAATCTCAATGTGGAAATGTTGTCTCATTTTCGCGCGCGTGGGTTTGCTTGGATGCGCCTTACCTAGAGCACGCAAGCTCGAAATCGGCTGGCCGAAATGGATGAGCGAGTGCGCCGCGTTGACACCAACGCCGAAGAGCGTCTTCGTCACGCCGAGGAGCAAACGTCCACACTTCGATTGCAACTTCAAGAGGAGCAGGTGCGACGCTGAAACCGTCACCGTGATCTCCGGACACTTGGACAGTACACCCAAAGTTTTTTCTCTTAATTTTTTTTCTGCCCTTTTTTCTTTTCTCATCTGTATCCACCTTCATTGCAACCACTCAGACACGGCGAGAGGAGCTGAGCGTCAAGGTGCAGCGCCTGCAGGATGCCGTTTTTGAGGCCGACCGAGAGCGTGACCGCCTGCAGCTGCGACTTGCTGATCAGGTTTGCTATCAGCAGTCACCACCAGTTTGACTGCATGTGTTCTCTAATGGTTTGGGTTGATGTGTTTGTAGAGTGCTGAGAGCGGTCGCTCGGGTGAGCGCGAGACGGCACAATTGGCCGAGGCCGAGGCGCGACACGCCACTGACCAGCAACGTCTGCAGGAAATGATCGTCCTACAACGCAACGAACTTGCCGATAGGGTGCGCTGCATTTGTCGTGTGTGTGTGTGTGTGTGTGTGTGTGTGTGTGTGTGTGTGTGTGTGTGTGTGTGTGTGTGTGTGTGTGTGTGTGTGTGTGTGTGTGTGTGTGTGTGTGTGTGTGTGTGTGTGTGTGTGTGTGTGTGTGTTTTTGGTTTGTTGTTCGTCGACCCCTGATTTTTGCTCATGGTTTTGTACCATAGGATCAAGAGCTGGCTCGGCTACGTGAGCAACTGCGTGCCCAGGAATTGACGTCCAACGAGGCTGCCGACGCCATCACGGCGGCGGCATCGCAGCGCCAGCTCCTGGACCGCGACCTGAACAACATGGCTGCCGAGTGTCAGCGCCTCAGCAGGTAATCGTGTTTCATGGTCCAGCGCAGCGGATCCTCGTCTAGGCTGCGTATTTGACCCACAATTTGTCCCAATACTGACTTCTTTTTCTTGTCTTCGTTTGGCACTTGCTGCGTCTGATGGCTGGTGACAGCGAGCTTGAAGCCGCTCACCATGAACTCACGGAAGAGCGAGCCCGAACCGACTACTACATGGCACAATTTGAAGCCATTTTGCGCAATCTCAAGGTCAGGTTCTTTTACCTGAGCCACGTCGAATGGTCTGTGCAAGATTACAACCTTTCTCTCTCTATTGTTTGACTCATTGTGTTGACGCTGGACGTGGCGTGTAGGAGGCTGAGACAGAGAAGCAACGTCTGCTGGAACTGTATGAGGGTCTCAGTGCCGAGCACAGCGACCTGGAGAATCGAGCCGGTGAGGCAGACGATCTGTCCAGCCAAGCTGCAGATGCGCTTGAATCCGCTCAACGCGAAATGGAGATCCTGCGACAGCGCTTGCTACAGGCCGAAGCCCTGCATGACCAACGGGCTGCTGATCTCTCGGGCTCTGAGCGTGCCGTTCGCAATCTTCAAAGCACCGTCGAATCCATGCGCGAGCAGCTCCACATTACCGAAGAGCAGCGCGAGCAACTCCGTCGCCAAGTCAACGTCCTCCGGGCCGGCGCTGCAAACTGACACAAGTCCACCCTCTTTGCCTTTTGGAGGAGCAGTCAGCTTTCGATGAAGCCTCTTAAATATTCCGCCAAGCGCGCGCTCTACTCTCTTATCTCTTGTCAGACGATGTTTGATGATTTTTTTGAACTGCTTGATTTTCAAAGAGTTGAAATCATATTTTTCCCATCACGTTGATACGAAAGTCGGCAAAAGTGCCTGAAAACTAGCCGTTACGGTTCAAAAGGAAAAAGCGCGCTGCGACTTGTTGATCGCGCGCAAACGCGCTCATTTTTTTTTTTTTTTTTTGGTTTCGCTGCTCTGCGCCTCTATCCTCGTGCTTCGGCCGACAGCTTTGCTCCGCTTCGCCGCGTTGTTTGGCTTGAGCAGCGCTGTCGGATTTTGGCTCTGTTTCAGCGCTGTTGGACTTGGCCGCATCTCTGGTGTTGAACAAGGCTTGCTTTTGACACTCAAGAAACGTGCTCGCCTCGGCCTGAGAAAGCCAGCTTCGTTTGGCCTGTTCCGCATAGGATCGTACTCCGCCACCGTTCACAATGGATGTTGAAGCCGACGGGGGCAAGAACGTGACGAGCGTTCATCACAGTTCCGTGGACCCCACTCAGTTCCCACTTCTTCTGCAACAGGTGAGCCGATACCTGCTCTTTGAGGCGCTGTCGTGGCGTGGCAGTTCCACCCTGCCTCTCATTCATTCTGATGGAAACCCCAACAGTATTACCTGCGACTTTTCCCATACGGCAAATACTTCAAATGGCTTTCGTATGGCGGCGTGGACAAGAAGGAGTTTGAAAATCGCGAGTTCTCCTTCACCCTCAAGGATGATGTCTACGTGCGCTACCAGAGTTTTGCCGACATGTCCGAACTCAAAGAAGGTCGGGTCGTGCTGATTTCCACCCTTGCGGGCATTGTGCCTGAACAAGAAAAGGTGCCTTTACTCGATCGCCAATCTCAAGGTGTCTCCCAACCTGTCTTGCCGCTATTGTAGCCATTATCAAGCGGTGCCCATACAAGATTGACATTGGTGCCATCTTCACAGCTCGGGTACCAGCTCTTTTCGCCTCCGCTCGTTCGATTTTTTTTTTCCAATTTTTAAAAGTTGATTGCTCGAGTCGCATTGCTGACCAGCAACTCGACCCCGTTTCCTCCGCTTTGCTTTGTAGCCCAAAGACCACAAAAAGATCAAGAGCAGTGAATTTTACCCCGTGGCCAAAGAACTGGTTTTCGATATCGATATGACCGATTACGACGAAATTCGCACCTGCTGCAGGTGGGACCTGTTGTTGACATCTCACGCAGCCTGCCCGCATTTCTTTTGGCCTTGCTTGACTCGCACACCGATATGTCTCGTGTAGTGGCGCGGCCATCTGCCACAAATGTTGGGGCTTCATGACTGCAGCCGTCAAAGTGCTGGATGCGGCGCTGCGCGAGGACTTTGGCTTTCAGCATCTGCTTTGGGTGTACTCCGGTCGCCGTGGTATCCATTGCTGGGTTTGTGATAAGAGGGCACGACTTCTTTCGCAAGAGGCTCGCGGAGCCGTTGCTGAGTATCTGCAGCTTGTTCGCGTACGTCTGCCTTTGTGCTGCTTGTGGTCCAGCCATCAGCACCGCCAGTGCCAGCCTTGCACCATGAACGGGGCACCCCTCATGTGGTTTTGTGTTGCAGGGTGGCGATCAAACGGCCAAAAAGGTGTCCCTGACGAGTCCTTTGCACCCGTGTGCAGAACGGGCGTGCAGAATTCTCGAGCCTTACTTCCGTGAGGTTGTGCTCTCCTCCGACTCGCAGGTCCGGCAAGCTGTTTCCTTGCACCCCATTCCCCGGCAACTGCATCTGTTTGTTGATGCTCGTATGAGCGTCAAGCTCACGTGCCTTGGTTCGGCATCATCTGCTCAGGCGTTGCTGGCCCACAGCGAGCATTGCAACACCATGCTTAGTATACTCGGCATGGACGCGATCGAAGCCGACATCAAAGTAAATCGCAGCGTCACCATGTCTTTTGAGCCAAGTTCGTTGCAGCTCATCGTCCGGTGCCGCTGCACTACAGGCTGCCTGGGCTCAGAATGGGCGCAGCGAAGACAAGTGGGAACAACTGATTTCAATCGTGAAGGTGCGCGCGCAAGTTTGGATCTGGTGCATATGTTCTTGCGCATTCAACTCACACACTCTTGTCCACGTTTTTCTCTGAAACACTCAGGGCCAAAAGTCCAAGAAGGTGTCACGAACGCAAGAACTCATGCTGCAGTACATCTACCCACGGCTGGACATCAATGTATCCAAGGGTGTAAGTCCCAAGCCATCTCTTCCTCGCGGCTGCATCTGTCATCTCCGAACGTGACAAGTCCATTTAGGGGGTTTTGTTTCCTTGATCCGATCACGCCCAACCTTTCTGGTCATCTGCTGATTTCTCTGTCAACTCATCTTGGGATGGTATCGAACCCGCAATCCGCTTTTTTGGGTGGCCCGTGACAAAACAGCTCAATCACTTGCTCAAGTCACCCTTTGTGGTACATCCAAAGACGGGACGTGTGTGCGTGCCCATTGACCCCAGCAAGGCCGATGAGTTTGATCCTTTCGCGGTCCCCACCATTGATCGTCTGTGTCGGTATGTTCTGCAGGTCCACATGTCGCATATGCATCACGGCAAATCTGGCCCTGCGCACTCATGCACGCGCTGACTCTTGCAACCTTTAGCGAACTGGACGAGTTTGAAGAAGAGCAACAGCTCAATGCATACACAGAAGCGGGCGAGCCCTCGCCAAAGCGCAAGATTCAAAGTACGCCTACTTCGGAGTTTTGTCAACAATGATTCACGTCCATGTTTCTGCTTTCTGGCTCAACTCGACCCGCTCTGTGCTTCACCTGCCGCAGACTTTAACAAAACATCGTTGTCCGGTGCCATGAAGATTTTTACCGACTTTCTGCAAGGTCTTGATGAGGAAAACGCTGAGCTTGCCGAAGGTGCGCCCTTGTCGCCACTTTTTTTCCTGCTGAACTACACTTGTCTCCCCCTTTTACCTTCAGGCTTTCGGTCTTGTGCATCATTTCGTACGGCTGCCCTTACTGTGTTCTGCTTCTTCTGTGAATAGATGCTGGTGTCAAATCCGAGGCCATGGAGTGGTAGGCCGCAATCAAGTTCGGCCTCCAGCTTTGCGTCGTGTGAAGCAGTTGTGCGTTACCCTTTGCCAAGAGGTCGTTCAGGGCCTTCATGGGTGCAACAATCATCTTTTTTCGCACTTGCTATTACGTGTCTCCAAATCGACGGGTCAATTGATATGTGAATTATAGTGGACAGCAAAAAGCCTATGCTTGAAGAAAGCGCAGATCGCGGTTGGTTGCTGGCAGCACGCGATATATCCGCACCAGCCAGTTTGAGCTCGTAAAGACATGCTCCAACTCCTCCAGCTCAGTAAATTTGTGACCAATCTCCGCCCGGCGTGCCCGATCGTAACCTCGACCCTTGCCTGCAATGCGGCATCCGAAGATGAGCGATGAGAAAGAACATCTACATGTCCACCCCATTGCGCAATGCCACGCACCTAATTTAGTCTGATGGAAGGCAAAGTCATGATAGGATAGTTTGTAGAGCAAACTCTCAGCCAGTCGTTCGGGCGCCGCTGTTGTGACCCGAAACGTCCCGGCCTTGGTCAAAAAGTCACCCACTGATATGGAATCATCAACATGAGCTGCAAGGCGAACCATGGTGGTAAGCTGCCCAATATCATCGGCAGTCAGACCAATGGCACCACCAAATTTGACGGCGATGTAATCCACACCCAGCTTGCGCAGCTCATGCACGGCTTCCTGCTCTGTCAAGGTCCATAGCTGTCCAGCAGGCAGAGAAAAGAAAAATAAATGCCAGTAAAAGCATTGCATGCGGAGTGAGATTACTGGAAGCGATCACCAACGAGGTTAAGGGAGTGAGAGCATCGCCAGCCTGGAACTTACACGAGCAGCATGAGCCAGAGCGCTGCCATTCGTGGACTGGCCAGAGCCAGGCTCGGCGGCGGACAAGGTTGTGTGGGCAGTCAAGACGGGACCGAGGTCACGCCACGCCAGGACCTATTCGATGCAAAAATGTTGCAGCCACCGATGAGCCTTGAATGCAACCCACGGGTTACGGTGAGGGAACTCGCAGTGGTGGCAGATGAATAGACCTTGGAATCGGGGGGCAGATGCTGATGCACAAAGTCAACAGCTTCCTCAACATCCCAATAGATGAGACGGGTCTCATTTTGCAGCGTGACGCTAGGGAAAAGGTCGCTGCCTGCATATGTTGTAGTAGCAGTCCAGTAGGCGTGACGAATGAAGAGCACCCCCAGAACCACGAGAGCAGCTGAGGTCAAGAATCCGCGCTATTGGAGCCATGGCAGTCAAAAGCAGGGCGCGCATGCACAGAGATATAATGAAAATTGCGCCAAGAGAAAGGGCACTGCGACGCAGCAAGGCTACACACCAGCAGATCGGCATCACCGCGAGCCGTGCGCATGTCCTTGTTCTTCTTCTCTTTTTTTGAATCCTTTTTTTGGCGCCGAGCAGCTTCGAGATGGGCTCGTGTACCGCGGTCCACGGATTCCGCCCCCGCCACAATCAGCGCAGCGCAAACCCCTGCAGCCAGAAGCGAGGCAAACAACCCCACTAGAGGGATGTGCATCCGAGCCCGTCCGGCCATCCAGAGACTAGAATCGCTCGCGCAAAAAGTTTGGCAACAGCATCAGACAAACATGGGGGCCAAGTGCAAGGGAACCGCCCGAACGCTTTGTAGCTACGGCGTAGCAAACCGACCTGATGAGGTAGCCTAGAGCAAGCATCCGCGCGCCCACAGGATCACACGGCAACTTTGGCAGCATGTTCAGCCAGAGCACGTCAGCGACTCCGACCAGCGCAACCATGTTGAGCGCGTGCAAGTCGAGAAACAAGCTGGCCCAGGAGGGCGGCAAGGCATCTGCCATTGGAGCCTCAACGGTCAGCGACCCTGTATTCCACCAGGTGTTGGCATTGCCAGAGCCCGCATGCGCAAAGGGCACGATTGAGGTGACGGGGTCGAGGTGTAAGAGCTCAAGCAGCAGCAACAGCGCAGGGAGCCATAGGCCATAGCGCAGATGGTTGGCCCATCGGGCCAACATGACGGGCCCAGAGTCGGCCGTGGCAGACTGTGTGGCCACGTGCAGAACAAGGACTGCAAGCCATAGCAGGGAGAGCAAGGAAAGGAACCGATCCCAAAGCAAGACCAAGGTGAGATCAATCTGCAAGCTAACAGTAGGCAAAGAATTGCCAACAGAAACAAACAGCCTGGAACGCACCGTTGGACAGGAGCAGAAGGAACAGAGACGGGAGGCGCAAAGACGGGGTAGAACTGACAGCATCCCCCAATAGTGCTGCGGCGGTCAGCTGGTTTAAAAAAAAAAAAGAGGCCGGACGAAAAGGTGTGAGCGTAAGCCATGATCTCGATGGCATTGTACAAGGCTCTGACCACTGGCATATATTTGCGGCCGGGTCAACGGACCAAAAAGTGGCGACTCAGGCTAAAGTTTTGCAGTTTGGTATGGGTCGGGACAAAAGCCAGTGCCAAGGGCGGGATTAGCAAGAGGCAGTCTCGGAGCATGGGCACGTGAGGGACCTGATGTTCAGAGTGGGGGAAGTGTCATTCATGAGAAGTGACCTGGACACGACTTTTGGTAGCGCCGGCGGAAAATCGCGTGCGTCGACGCACCGCGAGAAACACGGTCGCGATGTGCCAGAGCACGTTGCTGTTGAATGTTGAAGTGCGAATGCCCCGCAGCCAGGCAGTCAAGATGATGGCAAAGCCACACAAGCCCAAAACTGTGGGATGAAGTCGCCCGTAGCTGGTCACCCTACACCAGCCGAAAGCCACGAGACGCGATAAGAGGGACACGAGGTCGTGAACCCTGGGCAAACGACGGACAAGGCACAGACTTGAAAATGGCTGGGGTAGTGGCCACTAGGGCGCAGCTCAGGCCCGTTGCGACAAAGTCCTAATGCACCCAGACAGCGAGAGCAAATGTGGGTGCGGGGTTACACTGCATCTCGCACCCAGGACGACAGGTGACACCCGCCACTCGCAAAGGCACGCGCACTTTACCAACCTGGCCATATATCGCATGAGCTAGACTGCCCACGGCGACGAGCACAAGGCCAAAGAGTACGATGGGAAGATTTGCAAGGACTTGAATCAAGTCAATGGATGACCAGAAGCTCAAGGCCGCGTGCATCATCTGACCGAGAACCGCAAGATCGGCGCTGCCATCGCGCGGGGCGACAGCCATTCCCTCGGACGACTGCGCGGCACGCAAAACGACATGCGAAGGCACATCATGCAGCTGAGGCCCATAAACCCACCACGGCATCCATCTCATCAAGAAGGCCACCGCCACCACGGCCGCCACTGCACCCCAGAGCGCCCCGGCGTTGGGTCGCGACCTCGCGCCCGCTGACTCGGCGCCCGCCATCTGTTCGTGTACGTGTGGAGCAAATGCATTACATGTGTGGCGCTTTGACGCTACATCCTTAGCACTTTCATCTCGATCGTGTGAGAACTTTGAATGCTTGGTGTGACTGCTGCCTCAAAGAAGTTCCGAGAAGAAAAAAACACAAACGTCTGACAATCTGACATTCCGAATAGAATTGTCTGACAATTCTTCTGCTGCTGGTACCTCAAAGGTGAGAGATGGAGCGGACAAGGTGACGGCAACGCAGAGATACACCAGAAGGCCCTGTATACGTCATGGAAGAAATAGAGGGAGATGCAGAGATTCAAGGCCTGATCTGCTCCACAGAAGAGAGTCGTGCTTTTGAGTGTTTGATCGCGCCGAGACGACGACACACGGGGCGTTGTCTGGCATCATGCCGCTCTTTCGGCAGCAGCTTCGGCCCTGTGCGCATGCTGCGCATGGCAAGGGTGCTCATACCTTTTACCTCATCTCTGACCTTTATGGCCAACCAGGTAGTCGCGTGGCTTGCCCTGCCCCCAAGCCCGTGTTCATCCACGAGTGGACACCACCCTCAATCATGGCGGTCATTCGTTCTGCGTGCATCCTCATTCCTTTAGAGGAGCAGTCGTTGTTGGTTCCGCTGGCAGAGCAACTGGAAGCTCGCTCCTACGGCGAGGCGTTGAAGTTGCAAATGCGGCAGGTCAGGTCCTGGCCGCCCGCTGTGCACAGGCAAGATCACAGTCAACATCGCGTCCCTCATCTTGCGGCTTGCGGCTCGCGGCAGGGCAAGGGTGGCCCACAGCGCGTCCACATCAAGACGTTGTGCCAGCCAGGATTGGTCACGGCCATCGGCCCATTGGACGAGCAGCTCTTGGACCAGTGTCTTTTCAGCCTTGAACACCTGGCCAGCGCACCCGTGGTTTGTCTACATTCTCGCCATCCTGAGCTTTCCTGCCGAGAGCAAGCGACCTCCCGCCGACCAAAGTGTTCCTTGCATTGCCTGGCCCCTGTGCGCACCTCATGGGCTCGCTCGCCAGATTGTCATTGTCTTGAGCCATGTCGGCTTTGCAGCGCTGCAGTCAGCCCATCTAGAGCCCAGTCCGCTGGCGGCCGAGCTGGCGCTTGCCGTCCAGCTCTTTCGGGACAAGGTTGGTCCGCTGTTGTAGGAGCAGCCAACGACCACCTCCATTCCACGCACTGCCTCACCATCAGACCGGAACAAACTCTATTTTAGGCGGCACTGTTGTTGCCATTTTCAGTTGCGCTAGATTCGTCAGAGATACCCCCTCTTCCCTCCGACTTTGTGTACAGCGAGGACTGCACCCCACTTGAGGGGGTGCAGCTCGGGGTGCTGGAAACCATGAGCGAGTTTCAACAAGTGCTCTTCGATCGCAAGTGTGGAGTCCTGACTGACCGCCCCTCATCCTCCACAGCGGACGATGCCCCCAAACAAGATGATCGTGCCGAAGCCATTGCCACTGAAGTGGAGCGCGTTGTGCGCAAGATGCATGCGCAGTTGCGCGACGTGGGCGTCAAGGCCCACCAACAGATTCTGAAGCGTTTACGGCGCGTCAAGCGTGGCATACGCCCGCGCACTTTTATCAACTACCTCCCCTCTTTGGACCCCTCTTTCAAGTGCAAGAGCCGGGCTCGGCTGCATCACGACTTTTTCCTCTCCTATCGGCAACAAGCCCATGGTTAGTCTTGACTGGGACCAGCGACAAGCACGCCTGGTTGCTCTTGTTTTTGCCGTGTGTACACGTTGCCCGCTTTTTCACCGCGAAGCGAGGGCCCGCGATCCATAGGTGACTTTGCGCCCGAGGTAGCAGCTTGCATCGATAATATGCGACGGGACGATGGCGTGCTCAAGGGGGATTTTCATTGTTTCCTCGATCAGCGATGCTTGGAGACGGGCCAGCCCTGGCGCAGCGGCTTTCTCAATGTGATTCGCGCCTGTAACATTGTATGTGGATTGCCTGTGCCAATCGGCATTGTTGCTTCTCCCGAGTTTTGGAACTTGAGGTTCTATGTTTGAGCCCAGCAGACAACGGCTCAACTCCTTGCCTATCACCTTAGATTGCTATTTTGGTGTCGCCGTTGACCCTGGATCGGATGCGCACGGCCGATGAGTTTACCGACAACGTGCTGCTGGAGTGGGAAACGGCGCTTGATATGCTGGGCAACAAGTTGTGTAAGCTGATGGTCTTTTGCCTCGACGACCCGGGACGGCCTTTTATAATGCCCGCCTTTGACGCCTTTCCCGATCAGCCCACCCCACTGCCCGACGACCTTGTCATGAAAGGAGACAGGCATAGTGTCGTGCCCCGCCGCACCATCCGCCAGGTGGTGCGGGGCGTGTTGTCCGTTGCCCAGCGTCACGTTGTCCGCCCGGACCCCGCCAGCGACATGCCACAAGTGGAGGCGGCAGCATTGGCGGCGCCCGCGGATACCCAACCGACGACGCTGGACCGCAAGCGCACCGAGTTGCGGCGATATACCCAGACCGACAAGGCGGCGCATGACATTGCCTCACTCATGTATGAACAGTTTCAGACACACTATGCCACCACGGCCCATCTCAAGGCCATGACGTCGGCCTTTGAACAAGTCTGGGATGGGGCGCGCGAGGCTGCCCGGCAAAGCTTGGAGGCCATGGTTGATGCCTCCACGCGAGGCACAAATGTTGTTCAGCAAGTCAAAACAAAGGCCTCCAACCTGGCACGGGGCCTGGCTCGTCCTCACCCCTCACGCGGGTCGCAAGGCGATAGTGTGACTGCAGCTGCCGCCGATCCTTCCGTGACAGATACCACAGCAGCCACAGAATAGCTCCCCAGTCCCTTTCCCCTGCACGCATCCGATGGGTGCCCCACCCCGACGCTCCTGATTGCCACCCAATACCAACCTCCGAATTCATTCATACGGGAGATATGGGAGAGCGACCCCCAAGTTTTTGGCACCTTTTGTTCAAACAGTTTTGGTCACCGTTTTTCTCAAGCGGATCACACGTTGTTGTGTTCTCTTCAATATTCATCGTTCACGCCCATATCTCTGATACACCTTTATTCCGCCTTACAAAACGATCCGATTTATAAACCCCTCTCTGAATGATACTACCAGTCCACTAAGTTCTCTTCTCTGTCTGTGTGCCCCTCCTTTGAAAGAGAGAAAGAGAGAGAGAGAGAGAAGAATGTCGCGGTTCGCATTTCTCTCTCTCTCACACTCACACACACACACTCTCTCGTGTGTGTGTGACGGTGACTCGTGTGCCGGAGTGCCACTGGCGCCGGCTCGTTGTTTGGTCTTCTTAAGCTGATCAACCCCTTGCTATTGAGCCCCCCTTGACCCTGCGTGACCCTGCTTCACGTGTTCGCGTCAGCGCCTCGATTTTCGATTGCGGTGAGAGATGACACCGCGTGTGCGGTGTAGTGGGAAGACCATCGCCAAAGTACAGGGCCTCACCTCGCTGATGCAAGTCGTAGGTGCTGTGTCCTGACGAGCCATCACAATGGTTGGGCGTCGTGGAGGCTCGTTGCCCGGGGGTCGGCGCGGTGGTAGCCAGTATCAGATCAACTTTGCGCGCATGGCCTTGCTTGGCGCTCTCTGCTTGATCGGGTACCTGGGCTATTCTTCCATGTCCTACTCGAGCAGCCTGTCCGAGGCCGAGGCCGAGAACCGCGTCCTCCAGCAACGCTTGGAAGTTCTCAGCCAAGAAAAGGATCGTCTCACCACTGATCTCGAGCACAGCCGGTCAGAGCCCTAGTCCCGCGCCCTGCTTGCCATGCATCTACGGCGCTGCTCCGCTCATCCCCAAGCACATCTCATGCCTTCTTAGGAGTCAAAACGGTGTCCTTCAGAACCGAATCAATCAGGTTGACGGGGAGCTACAAAGCAAAAGTAGCTCTCTGCAAAATATGGAGCAAAGAATCAAAGAACAATCGGCTGAACTGGCCCAGCGTACACACCAACTAACAGGTGGGTGGTTCTGCTTGCTCTTCTCTCGTCATGGCAGCGGGTTGACGTGCGCATGCCTGCCTCTCTCTGTGTCACGGGCTCAACCCGATAGCTTTAAAGGAAGCTGAGCAAGATATGGAACAAGCTCAACAGCAAGCCAGCCGTGAACGTAAGGACCTGCAAGCAGAGCTCGAGACTGTGCGTAGTGAAAAGGAGCGCGAAAGTAGTCGAGCACGCGATGCCGAAGGTAGGCCTTTCTGCTGGGAAGAGGGGCCCTTGTGCATTTAGTAACGTCGATTCCCGGACCTGCTTTGCTTGTCCACGAGCGTTCTCATGAAACTCATTTTTGAGCGCAGCGGAGAAGGAGCGACTGGAGCAGCGTATTCGAGCGCTTGACGAGCGCGTTCGCAACGCAGAGACAGATGGGCAGAGCGCAAAACAGAGCGGCGAGGCGCTGCATCAAGAGTTGGAGCAGCTCAAGTTGGACAACACAAAGCTAACCCAAGAGCTTGAAGCTGCTCGTGAGGCTGCCCGTGCAGCGGCCCAGGCCGCCCAAGCTCATGCTCAGGACGAGCCGAAACCCCCCGCGCCCCCGGCACCCGCAGCGCCCGGTCAGGCCGCATTGCCGAATGCGGACGCTGAAGACGCGGGCAAGGCGGCCCCGCCTGCCCCGCCTGCCCCACACCACAATGAGAATGCGGCCGAAGAGGAGGAATCCTTTGCCGATCCAGGACCTGCAGACGACGACTTTGAAGGCGAAATGAATAAACGTGACGCCCACGTTGAGGACAACGCTGGTAACGCGGTCCAAGTCGATGGCGACGTGGCGCAACCAGAGGCGGAACTTCTTGCTGATGAGAAGAAAGAGGTTGAATCCATGGGCGATGTCGAAGCACCCGATGCCAACGGTGAAGACTTGAAGGATTTGATTGATGATGACGACGATGCCAGAGCGCATGACGAAGTGGCCGAGGTGGATGCAGAACCTGCCGAAGGTGAAGGTCAACAGCAGGAAGAGCAGCAGGAAGAGCAGCAGGAAGAGCAGCAGGAAGAGCAGCAGGAACAACAGCAGGAACAACAGCAGGAACAACAGCAGGAACAACAGCAGGAACAGCAGCAGGAACAACCCCAGGAACAACCCCAGGAACAGCAGCAGGAACAGCAACAGGAACAACCCCAGGAACAGGAACAACAACAACTTGACAGGGAGGGTGTGCCTGCTGACCATGAGGTTGTCGCTCGCCGCGAAGTTGTGGGCGATCACTTTGATGCCCAGGCTGACAACGCCCAGTTTGGGGCTGTTGCGGATGTTCCAGCCGGAGAGGGTCGGCCTGAATCGCATGTGGCTGATCAGATTGAGCCCGCTCCAGTCGAAGGTGCGGCCACCTGAGTCTTGTCGTCCCGCAATCAGACACTGACCACTCGTGCGCCCCTCTCGCTCTTCTTTCCCGTTTGTATTTTTGTTTTTGTTTTTTGTTCTTTTTTTTTTTCCAACTCAACCGTTCCATGTGGTGTTACATTCTTGGTGGCAGAGCAAGGCGGAGAAGCAGCAGCTCAGGATGCCGAGGCTGATTTGAGTCAAGATGATCATGAGGAGGAGGGTGATGACGCGCCAAGCTTCAAGGAGGACGACGATGAAATCAATGAAGAAGAGGAAGAATCCTTTGTGGCCGAGCTGCAAGAGAACCCGGTGCCAGCTGAAGGGGATCAAGCCCAGCCTGACCAGGAAAATGAAGCCATGCTGGAGGCACTGCCATAGAGGCTTGTTTCAGATGCATTTTGCTGCGATGCAATGCCGTAGTGAGTGGCGTCATGAGTGTCTCTAGTCGCCAGTCGAATTGAGCGGATGGGAGTTGAACGCCGTTGGGTGGCCTGATACAAAGTTTTTGGATAAACCTGGGCGTTGACCTGTCTTCATTGTATGTGAACGACGCGGTGATGGCCCCCAATTGACAGGGTTTCGAGCCGAACGGTATCAATTTTTGATTGCCTCTTTGCTGGGAAAAGAAAGCATTGACATGCGAGCAGCATAGGCGCAGAGCACACCAAATCAAAGCAAAGAAGACTTGACAAGTTATCGAACGAGGGCCAAGTGCCTGCCTCCCGCAGACCAGCTTGCCCCCAACATGGAGTGCCGTTCAAACAGCACGAATTGTTTCATTAGAACGAACGAAGAGATGATAACATGTACACGTTGCACGATTCGAGAAGTTTGACAAAGGCAGCATCAGGAACAACTCCAACAAGCCTTGCAGAGCACATGGCAAAGCCACACCCACGGATTGAAAGTGCCGACCAGCGGCCAGGGCGCGATGGTGCACGCTATCCGCCAAACGAGATGGGTTTGCACATCTGACAAGCAGAGCAAGCGCTTCCCGCGGGTCACAAGGTGGCTTGCCAAGACAAGGGACAGATGAATGGTCCATCAGAGGCCAGCCGGACGGGTGATACTAGCAGGGCCACGATATGGAGCAACATCAGTGCGGATCAATACCGCTGGAGATGAGGTCTTGTGCAGTGCAAAGCAACAGCGGGGAGTCTGGATGAATGCCCGCATGCTCCTGTGGCTGCATCCATGTTTTCTATGGTGCAACATTTCACATTGGGGTGAGGCAGGTTGCACTTGAAAGGAGAGGGTACCATGCATGTGCGTACCCTTTCCCAGGGATCGTGCCAGACAGGGATAAGGCGGGTGCCGTTTGATGATTCACGGTAGACTTCATCTGCGCAGAGACCAAAAGGGTCGACCAGCAAATTGCTGCCACCAAAAGAACGGTGAGACGAGACAGAAGTGGTGGGATCACAGCCAGGGCAAACAACAGGGTGTCGATGAGTCTGAAAACAGGGAACCAACCAGGTCTCTTGCCAGACAACAAGGGTGGCCCGTGCACGTTTAGCAGCACTGCGGGGCATAGCAAGTCAAGTGAGACTTTGGCGCGGCCAACCCGAATGCTTTGCATTGAGCCCGATTCACTTTGCTACAACCATCAACTCACAGCTCGGCTTCAGCGGCAGCCTGCGCCGCAGCACCATCATCGGTATCAGCGCCTTCCTCGCCCTCCACCAGGGTATTCCACAGGTTTTTGGCCCAGTTCATAAAACCCATGGCGTAAAGTTGGGCCAAAGGCGTGCACTCAAGAGGCTGCTCTGTCGAGCGAAAAAAAAAAAAAAAAAAAAAAAAATGAACGCAACGACACACCAGCTCTCCAAGCCGTACGGGAAAAGGTCTAGGCCCATCTCGGCAGAGCAGCCAGACTTGATTGACGTACCAGTTCAGCGTACGTGATTCGGCGTTGATGGCGACGATGCGCCACGGAAAACAGGCGTGAGTTGTGGACTGGCGTCACCGCCAGACAAACTGCTGCTCCTCCTCTCTTGCACGCCACGCATACATCAACACTCAAAACCCAAGCTGTGTTGTAGAATCTTCACCTCTGAGCCACACACGCCCAACGCGCGCTAAAGACCCCAAACCTGATATACCACAACCCTCCCGTCTCCTCCGTCGTTCCAGACCAGACCCGCCGTCCTCGGCTGCCACTTGTCGCCGTCGCCGTCGCCGTCGCCGTCTCTCTCTCTCTCTCTCTCTCTCTTTCGTTCGATGTTGACGTGTATGCTTAAAATGAATCTGACCTCTCGATGATAACTTTGTTGGTTCTCACTCTCCTATTATTGATTTACACCCTCGATTTTATAGCGTCGTATACTTGATTCAACCCCTCGGTTCTTCCATAACCCTGGACAGATAATTTCGTCTGACAATTCCGTTTGCGTCACACACACACACACACACACACACACACACACACACACACACACACACACGTGAGAGAGCGAAACGGCAGAGCCACTTGGTCGTCGTTGTCGTCGTCGCTGAGACGTGCGCGTGCGGGGCTTTGGGTGGCTCGGATTGGAACGGGCTCAAGGACTTGGCGTGCGGATTTGTAGTTTGTGCTTTTTGGGATTTGGTGAGGATCTTGGGCTGGCTTGGTTCGCTGTTGTGTCTTGAGCCGACGGCTCACGCGTGGCGCCGCCCCGCCCCTCCTGCAGCGCGCAGCCGGACGACCGGTCAGCATGAGGTGCCACTACGAGGTCAGTTGGTGACAGGGGGTCCATTGATGTGCCATGTGCTAGTTGTGCAGGTGATTGCTTGGGGTTGTGATTCGACTCGACTGAGAGCCTCTGCTGACCCTGCTCCGCCCCAACTTTGAATAGGTGCTCAACATCGAGCGCGATGCGGATGATGGGACCATCAAGAAGGCTTATCGCCGCATGGCGCTGAAGCTCCACCCTGGTACTGCGGCTTTGCACGCCTCTTGCTGGAACGCCGTCCCTCCTCGCGTCAACCCCATTCGCGCGACAGCTCATGTTATGCTGTGTAGACAAAAACAAGGACAACGAGGCTGAGGCAACGGCTCAGTTTCAGGTTGGAGCCCAAGCTCGGGCATGCGTGCCCTCTGCTCCCAGCCACCGATCATTCTCACTGACTGCATCTTGGATGATGACGCAGCTGGTTCAAGCCGCCTATGCCGTCTTGAGCGATGCCCAGGAGCGTGCATGGTATGACTCGCATCGTGAAGCTATCTTGCGCGGCGGTACGTCCCAATCTTGCACCCAGCCCCCAGCCGCCCGTGACCCAGCCGATGTCGCGCTGCGACGACAACGTAACGTCCGATGTATTTTCCCATCCATTTCTCTCGCCAGGCTCGGGCGCCGACGGTGATTACGAGGAAGGTGTGGACGTCATGCCGTACTTCTCAAGCAGCGCCTACAGCTCCTACGATGACGATGACGATGAGGTGGCCCATCCCAACGTCATCTCCTTTGCTTGCTCTCCCAGTCGACTCAGCCAAAGCACATGTTAACGAGTCTTTCAATGCTTACATCGTTTCTGCCTTAGAGCTTCTGGGCCGTTTACAACGATATTTTTAGCCAAGTCCACGAGGAAGACGTCAAGTTTGGAGCGACCTCTACGTTTATCCCCTTTGGTTAGATCCTCTTGGCATCCATCATCCTTGCGGCCTAAAGCGGCATGGCTCATCCACCCGACCCTGCTGTTTTGAAAATGCTCCGCAGGCAACTCTAGCACGCCGTTTAGTGAAGTCTCAGCCTTTTACGCACACTGGGAGGCCTACGTGACAACCATTCCATTCCACTCCAAAGACAAGTGGGACATTCGGGAGGCGCCCAATCGCCGCGTACGTCGACTCATGGAAAAGGACAACGAAAAGGAACGCCGCGCCGCTCGCCGCGAGTACAATGCCAACATCAAGGCCCTCGTGCGCTACGTGAAGAAACGCGACAAGCGCGTCATTCGCCATGCTGTTAGTTGCGGAGCCCACTCAACACACACCCTTCTTTCCTTTACCGTCGTCATGAGCATCAGCTATCTAGCAACTCAACACCGCACCGCCTGCTCCCGTTTGGTCCCGCTATCTGTGCAACCCCGCAGCATCAGCAACGCGAGGCCAAGGCTGCCGCCGAAGCCGAGCGCGAAGAGCAGAGAAAGCAGCAGGAAGAGCAACGTCGCATTGCGCGCGAAGCTGCCGCAGCTGCTGTCACGGAGCAACTCAATGCCGAGGGACTGCAGGAAAAGATTGCGGCCATCGAATCGATGGCGGACGACATCTATGGTATCCTCTGCTCGCCGACTCAAGCCGTCTGCTCCTGGTGTGCTTTCCTGCTCTCACTGCTGCTGCTGAGTTAGGCGCCGATTCGAGCGACGAAGAGGAGCAGGGCATGTATTGTGTCGCCTGCAACAAATCGTTTCGCACCCAACCAGCGTGAGTATGCCTGCGGCCATGGCACGCTGCCCTGGTCGCGCCCAATCACCTCGCCGTTGGTGTTTGGATGACGTGTGGTTCCTTGCCTTGCTCTTGTTTGTGATGTAGCTGGGAAAATCACCAACGCTCAAAGAAGCACCTCAAGCAGGTCGAGTACCTCAAAGCTCAGCTGCAAGAAGAAGACGAACAATTTGAGGATGTGGACGAAGCCGCTGCCAATGGCAGCTTGGGTAAGTTTTTGAGCTGCTGGTCTGTCTGTTTGCTTTTTGCTTTTTTCTCCGCACATTATCCTGCGAGTGCGCATATCTCATGCTCTCTGCTTTTTTTGCTAGAATTTGATGATATGACAGAAGAAGAGCTGCTGGCAACCATGGGCGATTTGGATGACCTTGAGTTGATGGATTTGCAGGACCTCGACGCCGGTGACGACGACGCTGATGATGGAGCCGACATGGATACGGAAGCGGGTCCTCGACACGAAGCAGACGAGGCAGAAGACGTTGATGACGACGAAGATGATGATGACAATGATGAAGTGACAGAGGATGACCTCTTGTATCTGGCCAATCTTCGCCGCACTCAGCAACCAGTACCCCCTGCAGCGGACATTCCCGAGGCCGCTGGACCAGAAACAACTGCACCTGTGGATGCAGCAGACCCTAACAATTCTGCCGATGACAACGAGGAAGACAAGGCTGAGGCTAGCCTCAAAGAAGCCGAAGAAACGGACCAGACGACAGGTTCGTTCCTTGACATGCTTTGCGATTCTCCAACCCTCTTCTCTTTTTTCTTTTCCCTTTTCTTCTTCTTTGTTCACCCCGCAATGTGTTTCCGTAGACTCGAGTCAACCAAAGCAGAAACGCAAGGGTCGTCGACGAGCTAAAAAGGTCAGCCAAGCCACGTACATGTCTTGCAACTTTGCCTCGAGCCTTTTATACATTGTCTCATGAACAATTATGTGTTTGTCTGTTGCAGCAGCCCGCAAGTTCAGAGACGGCACCTGAAGAACGAGTAAGTCAATGTTGTTCGCAAAGTCTGACACATGCCTTGCCAAAGCCGAGCTTCAGGCAGCACTTCAAATTCACTTCTTTGTTGCGCTGGCGCGCTTCGCTGTGGGGACCATAGCACCTCTGCAACGTATGCGAGGAAGAATTTGAAACGCGCAACAAGCTGTTTTCGCACATCAAGGCGACGGGCCACGCCCTCCATGTCGGTGCGTGCGAAACAGCTCGGCCTGTCATGCAGCAAATGTAGTCTTGTTCCATGGCCCTGTCACTGATTGCACTGGATTTGCACCTCCTGGCGTTGTCGATGTCATAGCAAACACGGCTTCGGCTGCCCCCGGTGCAAGCTCGGCTGGCGCCAATGAGAGTGGCTCTGCGCCACCTGCCGCATCAAGGCCACTCAAAGTTATTGACGACGAAGATCCCTGGGCTGACGATGGCCCACGTCGCGGCCGCAAGGGCAAGAAGAAGAAAAAATAGAAAACGTGTGCCTTGCTCTGCACATGCTATTAAACACGACGTCAATTACAATTGGGATGAACGAGACTCGAATTTTTATTCCCATTCCAATGCGGGTGTTGACTACAAGGCAAGATGCGGCTACAATTCTGCCGTGTCTCAGGGGCCCGCACCCCTGAAGCAGCATAACCTGGAAAAAGAACTTGAGCGGTGGCTTTTCAAGCCATGGAGCGTTTGAGTGCTTCAAGCTCCGCTTGGTGAGTGGCGTGGACGTAGTTACATTGGGAATCCTGCGCCAACACGACCGAGTCAGTCCACGATACACGGTACGAGAGTGTGAAGAGCAATACAGCAGAGCATGCTAGGGGGAACGTACGGGTAGACCCATGTAGGTGTCGTGGTTGGAGGCGCTCCAGTCCCAGAAAGGTACCGAGTCGGAGCAGCCAGGGTCTTCACCGCTCCCATCACAAAGAACATATTTTTGCGGGATACCTGCGGTGTTGTTGCTCAAGTTCCACACCTACCAGATCAAGGGCATCCCCGTGAAAGGACTCAAACCGCCCACATATCGATATCAAACATCAGTAGAAACATGAGCTAAGGGCTGTGCCATACCTCAGCAGGCAGGTGGGCAAAGCCAAACTCTTGGGGAGGAAGGTGAGGTACAATGTCAGCTTGATGAACCATGCGGGTGATGTTGGAGAGCATGCGGCGTGCCATGGCGACATAGTTGACGTCGCCCGTGCGGGGCATGCCAAAGGTATGCAATTCCGACTGCCAAGCGGGAACGGGTCAAGTGAGCATGTTTATTCAGAGGAGGTCCAGGTTTCAGATCCCAAGCCCAAGGTGGAGTCATCTTGATGGGCGCAAGAAGGAACGGCCGAGAAGCGATGGGAAATAAAAGTGCACGATACCTGACAGTGTGGAAGTGCCACGGCAAGCTCCAGCGAGGAGAGACCTGAGACGAGCAGCAAGCAATCAGAAAACGCTGGCAGGACCGTGTTTGGGGATCACCAGATGCCTTGTGCTATCTAAACACTCGGAGTACGGGGCCATGCATACCAGCCACTGCAGCGCCTAGGGAGTGTCCGACGTTTATAATGCGATTGCAAGTGGGGCAGAGAGTCATGACCACGTGAGCCACCATGGAATTGACTTGACCACGAACGCCCGTCCAGGCTGCATAAAATCCTGCGTGCAAATGAACATCCGTGTCGTTCAAAGTCACCTGTGACATTTGAAAGGCAGCGCCGTGAGCGATGGCACGTGTCATCTTTCAAACCAACAAGCAATCAAAACAACACAGCATCAAGCGATCTTGGGAGGAAAAAGCATGGCCACGCAACGGGGCTGCAACACATTGAACAACAGACGGCAACCATCGTACGCGAATCGTGTCAAAATCGTAGAGCCAGTTGGCCACGTTGGAGCTACCGCGGAAGCTAACGATAATGGTGGAATTGATGGGATTGTATGCCACATAGCCGTAGAGTCGACTCCGGTTGTCATACACAGTATCCACGAGTCTACTCGGAACATAACACAAGAAGTAAGAACCACCTGTTCTAGCGATGCGATCAGTCCCCAATGGCTACGCATGAGACCTGCCGCACGCTTGGCTGCCCTTCCACTTCCAGTCGTCGTCCCGGCCTGCCGTACCTTGTGCCGTTGTCTTGGCACCAGTAGCAGGACCAGTTGGCCAGCTGTTCTGGCGGACAGTAGGCTGCCCAGCTATGTGCCAGATAACCCCGATGCACCTGCTCGCTAAAGCCCACGACTGAACCGCTCAGTGCCAACAGTGCCAGCAGCGCTGCCGCCAGACCAACTTGAGCCCGCGTCATGATCGCAGTGTTGGATCGCTCCAGAAAAATGAAAAAAAAAATGAGAAAAAAAAGTAAAAAACATAAAAATGAACAAATCCGATTTAATTTTTCTATTTTTTTGTTTTTCCATTTTTTTGGAGATGGCCGTGATGTCGAATTCCGGGACTCTTTGGAGGCTTTTGGAGAAAGATGCAACAAAGGTGTGGATGGGGGGTTAGGAATTGCTCTTTGCAACGGGCATCACGACGGTGAGGGTGGCCGTCCGCCTGGAGGAGGCGAGGTGAGATGGCAAGCGCATGAGTGTTCGTGGAGGCCTTGTTCACAACCCCCCTTGTCCCTTTGGAGAGCTGGACCTTGAGATTTGGTTGTAAATGGCAACAGAAAAAAAAGGAGCAGGCAAAGCCAACCTGTTAAACTGTGCCGAGACTTCGGTAGCAATGACGGGCGTTGGTAAGTCCAGATGCAAGAAATAGACGTTGGGCCGAGCATGCAGACGCAGCTGTGCGTCGCACACATCGAGCGCCAGGGTTGCGGACGACGTCTTGACAGATTGTAAATAAAACCAAAAGAAGATGACGCAGCACGTATTTGGGTGAGTTTGAAACCAACAGAGAACAAGGGAGCATTAACAAGCTCGAATGGCGCGGCAGGCACCCACCAGTCCGGGTGTCTCGACCTCGAGAATCAAGAATTCGGGATTCTCCTCTGGCTCCTGCCAGCCCAGCGACGAGAGCAAGGGATGGCGGATTGTCAAGGGACAGGCAAGTGTGCGAGGCCAGGGGCGGTGTCCATCGCACCTTGGTCAGACGGTGCCGAGGCGTTTCTCCCGCCAATTCGGGTTGATCGCTGCCGGCCTCGGCTTCGGCTTCGAGCTCTTCCATGAGCTTCATGGGCCGCCTAAACAAGAAGCCAGGTCAGCTGGATGACTGCGGAAGCCAAAGCACGACCGCGATAAGTGACAATCTCCAAGGCGGCACATACCCAACTTCAGCCACCTTGCGCTTTTTAACGCGGCAATACTGCGGTTGGAGCGAGCCCATGTTCTTGCGACGCTTCATCAACTTGTACTCTGGTGGAGCAAAAAGAGGTGAGTGGGTGGGTGAACTGCCTGTATTTGCAAGTGGTCTTGAACAGAAGCAGCTTCAATGGCTGTGGCGCGCGAAAGCGTACCGCGATTAAGGGAAAGGCCGTGTTTGGCTTCAAGTAGCGAAAGAACTAGCTCAAGCAAGAAGTCACGCATGCCCAGTCGGTTCTGCAGGGCACCACAACCACCACCGTGAGACCATAGTCAGCCGGTGGGACACGGATATGTCAGGTACCCCAGGCACCCCAGGCACGCACTTCAAGCTGAGTCAGTACGTCCGAGTTGATAATCACATCATAGACACTGCATGGTTTTCCCGCTACAGAACCGACATCATGGTGCACCATGACGAAAAGCGGGGTGAGAGCGGGTCATGAGGAGATGAAGCAGAGGAGCCGGCCTGGAGGAAGAACGGCTCACCATTGTCCACCTCAATGTGTTCGCCGCCTGCCGACATGGGGATGCTAAATTTCGAGTTGTCGAGGTTGGCAATGGCCATGCTGATCTCTTCGTCAGAGACGGACGGTGGACTCGGCACCTGGAGGGTCCAAGCACGAGTGCCCATCAACAGCGGCATGCCAGCAGGCGTGCCAGCAAAGGATGCAGCATACAAGCCGTTAAGAGCCAACCTGGGCTGAATGGCAAACGTTGATAAAGACCTTGCCACCATGCTCCATGTCTGTTTTGACGCAAAAGCCTGGCAATGGCAAGGACATGGGCATGAGGCTCAAGACTTGGGCTGGTCACAAAACGGGCCAGTCTGGCTGAGGGTACCTGGTTCGGGGGAGACGAGAGCAAAGTCTTTGGAGGCTTGCTGTTCAGAGGAGGTTGAGGCCTGTACCTCCTGCACCGAATCGAGAAAGAGCAAGGTGGGTGTGAGCAAGGAGGACACGTTTGAGCGCAACGCCCTCTGGGATGTGGCCGAAGCCAACTGACCTGGAGCAGCTTTTGGAATGCTTCAGAGGAAAGCGCCTCGGCGGCTTCCGGGCCGAGGTCTAACAAAATGGGAGCTCCGTGATGAGCACGCGTTTTGCAAAGCGGGGCTATTCTTTGTCCCAGAAAAACGTGCGTGCGTGCGCGGTTGTACCCGAGCTCAGATCGGCGCCCTGTGAGCTGCCATCTGCAGTTGCCGCAAGTGGCTCATCATCGACAATGCGCAGCATATCCATGTTCCTGGTTCTGCAAGCTGAAAAGTCAGAGCCGACAATCAACACACAGCGAACACACGGTCAGAAGTTGTGTCGTGCGATGGAAAAGCAAGGCGCGAGCGGTGTCAATGACAACGCTCACCTTGCCTCCGCTCACCTTGCCTCGCGCGCCCTCCCGACCGAGCTTCAACGTCTTCACCCCAAGCTCACGCCAATCTCCTCAACCCCAAAACCCGCGGCCAAGCCTGCAATCAAAAAAGGTCCCCCTCTACTCCCGCCCGCCTCACCAACAACGACCGATGCGACCGATGCGACCGATGCGACCGATGCGACCGATGCGATGCGATACTCGGAACACCAATGAGTTGGGATAAATTGTCTGACAATGGAAGCGGGCTTGCTACCAGCTGTAACTCCTTCAAGCACAAATCCTTTCTCTCTCTCTCTCTCTCTCTCTCTCTCTCTCTCTCTCTCTCTCTCTCTCTCTCTCTCTCTCTCTCTCTCTCTCTCTCTCTCTCTCTCTCTCTCTCTCTCTCTCTCTCTCTCTCTCTCTCTCTCTCTCTCTTTCAATTCATCTCTTTCTCTCTCTCTCTCTCTCAAACTCTCTCAAACTCTCTCAAACTCTCTCTCAAACTCTCTCTCAAACTCTCTCTCAAACTCTCTCTCTCTCTCAAACTCCTCTCAAACTCTCTCTCTTTTCAACTCTCT